CAGCTTTTGGCAGGCGATACTGCTCGGCCAGGAAGGCCCCACCAGGAAATATAAGGAGATGTTCTGCGCTTTATACGCAAACTTTTCTAATAGTATAAAGATTTTTTGTTTTAATGTATGATTAATTTAAATTTTATTTAATCTAAATTTGTCAACTACGACACATGGAGCTGTGATGGCTCAGGGGATAAAGCGTTAGGCGAACCGGTTTCGAATCCCAGTCGATACGAATTCCGCATCCGGCTTGCACCGACCACAGTGATGACGTGAAATATACTCAGTGGTAGACGGATCATGAGTTAGAGTCCCCTTGGCATCAAGCTAACCGTGGGAAGTTCTCGTGGTCTTCCTCTCCATGTAACGCAAATACAGGTTAGCTCCATCTAAACTTCCTCCACGAAGGCAAATTTCTCTCAATACTCGATCCAGGAATTCCCGTGTCTTCTGGATTGGGTTCAAAATTACAAGGCTACGGAGTTGAACATAAGTAGTCGTAAACCCATAAAATTGGATTGGCTGTTCAACGATGGTTATAAAATTAACTACGACACATGAATAATGCATTTATAAATTTAAAACACCATTTTTTCCAACTAACTCAATATTGGTACAACATACATTTGCAGACTTTTGTGTTCAATTAAGACTTATAAACCTTTGAAGGACCGATTGGAGAATACAAAGAAGGACAGTAAGAAGATACATCCAGGGTAACAACGGGATTCGAACCCGCTACCTCCAGGCTTCACGCAGTTATTGGCTGGTGATATCACCCGGTTAAGGTGGTCCCTGCTGTCTCGGAAGTGTAGCTTTTAAATGTCACTATATTTTCTTAAGAAAATCTGTAGGTCTTAGTTTTCAATTCAGTACTACTTTATTCAAAATTTTTCAAAGAGATGCACGCAGCGTTCTCGAACTTTAGGTATTCTAAACTCTTTTGATTTTAACAGGTTGTGATTTACCAAGTCTTAAAATATCAAGATGGTATTCTCTTTTGTAGAATGCCAGCTTTCAGTAAATGAAAAGTATTAATTATTAAATTATTTTTATTAAATTAAATTATTTTTTATTTTGTCTTTAGGCTCCTAAAATTCCAGACCGAAAGCCATGCTCGTGTTTACAACAAGGCACTGAATGCCGTTGCAGTTCAGATGGGAACACTAAGTACACAATTCGTCTCGAACCCTGGGCATATTACAAGACTATAGCGTTTGGATGTCTATTGGGATGCTTATTGTTGTGGCTGATGCTTTATATACCACTAATAAATAATAGCTTGAAGAACTGATTGTATGATAAATAAAAAAATTGTACAGTTGATAATTTATTTTAAAAAAATGCTTGATTTTGTATTTTCGCTTCTATTATACTAAATTGTACTTTTTTTCCGTTTTTGTTAAATGTAAAAATGCTATTTTCAGCTTTTTTTTATCAACTTCGTTTTACGTACTTTTATTATGATAACCATGAGGTAAATTTAAAAACATTCATTAGGTGAATTGTAAAATTGTTACGTACAATTATAAAACTTGTTTTCCCATATTTTCTTCAATAAAAAATTTAATTTTATAATCATTAATTTTTCAATTTAAGGACAAAAAATTGAGTTACATTATATTCGAATTTTGAACTACTGTTTTAAAATATAAAAATTAAATTTTGAATTAAATCAGTTTAAGGAAAAAAATTTAAAATATAGTCTTTTTAATATTGGTTTTTTATTACTATTACATATTACTACATATTACTATTACAAGTGGAAAAATTAAGGTTGGAAACAAAACTGGAAAAACCACAGAATGAATGTAATATCTTGCAGTTTCAGTTTCTTAGAATTATTTACTTAAGTAATATCGAAAGCCCAGGTATCGCTAACATTTTTTAAGGTGGAAAATGTGTTGATTATTTGTTCTTTTCCTGAGTTACAGCATTCAATTGTTTTTTCACATGTCATTCCAAGTTAAATTCCGAGAATTGAACCTTATGACTTGATGTCTAAAGAACAATATTTTCAATTTTTGAATATTTTGTAATTTTTTGCAACACAAGTTCGTTAGAAACTGGCTTCATGTGAAAGAATTAGTGATCTATTTTATGAAGCACCCATGCATATCTTTTAAAAATATTTTTATAACTTTTTAGTTAATTCCTAACATGCAAAATTGAGAGCATTAGTGGCATGTTCACTATTTTTACCGGCCAAATACTCAAAATCAGTTTGAAGGGTGTAACTGAAATGAGAAAACTTACAAATTCTTAGCTCATTACAGAAAAGTACATAAGGGTAAGGAACTTAAGCTATAGAAACTATAATTCTGCTTATAGTATTAGAATAAAAATTAGTAGACGACCCCTAATGTTTTACGATTACTGTAAGTTTTTATTCAATTCGATCATAACTTGTTGTCGTCGGCCATTAAGTCAGAGGGGGTGAGATTGTTCTTGTTTTCCAGTATCACCATCTCTGGCCAAGAATTCGACTTCTACCACACCCATACGTCACACCCGTTTATAGGGGGGACCCATTCATACATTCATCCACAGATCGTAATTTTAACCCAAACCAGAGAATTACCTATCTCCAATTCTGTACCTCAAGAGGTATAATTTGTTATTCGATCGTAACTTCAATAACGTAAAGTCACCGAATATATAATGTTAAGACTAAATAATGTTAAATTTTTAAAAATTAAAATTATTTTAGATATATTAATTGAAAAACTTAGTGAAAGAACCAGGTAAGTGACATTTTCAGAACGAAAAAAGAAGTTGCATCCGAATTATTTTATTACAAATTTATTAGAAGGAGGGACTAATAATTCTTTGCTTTATTTTATTTATCATTGCCTAATTTGAAAGAAAAATCATGCAAGCACACTAAAACTAATATGGATCAGTTATGTTAAGATAAAAGTGAAGCAATAACAGTTCTGTTACAGTAAAAATCCCCATATTGGTGAAACCACTTTGTTACTTTCTCTAATTCATTAATTCCCCTAAAAATTTCACTTGCATGGTTCTTCCACAAAGCTCTTTAACTGTGTAAGTAAATGCCTTTCAGATTTGAGCATGATTGCGTTGTGTTTCTCAGTACTGAGTTATTGATTCTTTTCGTTTTTTAATTCCCCCCGTGCGAAGAACGGGTATTTAGCTAGTTTTTCAATAAATTAGAATTAAAAGAACTTCACTATTTGTAAATATTTTAATCCTAAATTAAAGGTCAGACAGAGAAATGGTCATGCTCCAAAATTCTTATCAAATTCTAATAAAAATTCTATTTAAAACAAAAGATCAGAGTTGGTTGACAAATGTATTTTTACAAGACTCAAATGTTGAAGGATTGTGTAATAAATACCAAATATACTAATATAGGTATATATATTATATCGATATACTTTGTGATTATTTAAACAGAACCAATAGGTGGTTTTAATATCGATACTTGGAAATAAGTGTTTTAGAACCCCTGGAAAGGGATAAGTACTGAAAAAAATTGCTTGATGGTGGTAAATTTTGACTATCATGAGTTGGTCGCGAGTGACAGCATCATGCCAAGTGATGCTAAATACATTTCATGCTTATTCTAATGAGATAAACTACAAAAAACGAATATTGCTTACTTCAATAACATAAAGCCACCAAAAAAGGCAGGTAGCTGGGTACTATATTTACGCCGCACTAGAGCTGCACAATGAGCTATTGGCGACGGTCTGGGTAACACCCCTGAGGATGATCCGAAACTTGCCCTAGCAATTTCGATCCTCTGCAGAGGGGATGGCTCTGGCAGCCCGACGATCTGCGCGCGAAGTCGAGCTCTTTACAGTAGAACAGTTTAACGAAGACCGATACCGCGCACACTCGGTCCCTACGCAGGCTGATCAAAGTGGCCATCCGCCCGCTTACTGACGGCAACCGATGATGCTTGACATCGATGTTGTACCGTGTCTACTGGGAACCACTGAGGGACCCGAAAAGGGCAAATAATAATATTCAATAAAAGAAATTAAATCATTTCAGCTATGTAAATTGAAAAACTTAAGTGTAAGAATCAGGTAAGTGACATTTTCAGAACTGAAAAAAAGTTGTTTCCGACCAATTTAGTTATCAATTTAATAGATTGATAACTAAATCTTAGTAGATAACTAAATTCCCTACATCTTAGTAACCATGGGGAAAAATCTTTTATCGACGGTGACAATCAAAGAATTCTACCGTCGAGTTCTTTTTCAGTTACCAATTAATGGAGAGAAATTTTATTTAAAGATATTTTTCCTAAACCCATTTGCTGTTTAGGGGGTTATTCAGCAAAATTTTCTTTGTCACTACAGTGTTTCTTAGTTAGTTAAACTACTGATCAGAGCTGATCCTATATTTTAAATATAACATAAACATCATGAAGTTAACTTGTTGGGATTCCACGAAAAGATAGATAGTGCAAATAAAATCGAATTCGAAGCAAAAACTTCCTGAAAAATTCAATCCCTGTCAAATCTGCATTACAAGACAACTTGAGTAACTATACCCAGATTCTATTGATATTCTAATCTGATATCTATCAATTAACGAACTATTTTATTTATTTATTTATTATCATTTCAATATGACAAGTTGTAAATTGCAACATGTGGCTATAAATTACCAATATTTATCTAGTAACTCTTAAAAATATTATGTGAATTACTTTACATAACCATTTTAAAATGTTAACTTCACATGATGAAAGGCACTACGGTTATTTCACTTCAATAACGTACATGATGAAGGGAGACAGTCACTTCAAAGCATGTTACATAGGTATGTCGTTCACATAATATTTTTAGGAGTTATTAAATCAGTCATAGAAATTAATAGTCACACCACGTAGATGAGAGTTATAAATGATAACAAAAAATCAAAACAATAAATAGAAATTAAAATAAAACTTCATAAGTATAAATTTTTTTTATTTCTACAAAAATGACAAAACATTTATATTTTTCATTGATTTAAATATTTGTTTCTTTGAAATAACTGGTAAAATTTTTAATGCAAGTTTGGCATTCAGATAATTACAGTAAGAAATTATCTATACAATATAATTTTTGCACAAACAATATGCAAATGCACATTACATACAACTTATCAAAAACATTTTCAATTTTAAATTAATTGATTCTTCTGATATATTGTTAAAAAAGCACCATGACAATCAAATTAGCATTTGCATAATCTTTCAGCATATGTTAATAAGACTAAAAAATGATAAAAATAATAATAACGAAAAATTAGAGTTTAAATAATTTTTAACAAATCTTTTAAATTATACTTAAATGTAACATACTATATGAAATATACAATAAAATCTTTAAAAGTAGCATTTAAAGATTAATGAATTCAGGAAATAACCATAAAAAACTAAAATAATCAAATTAGTATTAAGCTTTATTTAAACACATTAAGTATGTAATGAAAAAAATCTATTAATAGAAAGTTTAGCATAATCATAAACTTTTAATTATAGCTATTAAACGAATAAATCGTTTTTAATAAAATATATAAATGTTGATTTATTAAAATAAAGCAGCAGAGTATGATATTAATAATGAAAAGAAACCCTAAACAAAGTCTGACAAATATGTTTATTGATATAATTTTTTTGCCAGAAATGTACAAAATTAAAAACTCAATAGCTACAAGAATTTTAAGAGCAGCGCAAATTTAATATGTACATATTATAGTAATCTCTCACTTTATAAGGATGGTCAAGACAAGTCTTGCTCGAGATAATCGAATTCATACAAATTTTGATTAATATTGTTAAAAAAGACAATAGAAAATTTAAAATTATTATTCAATAAGAAAATATTGATTTAAATAATACCGATTAAAATTTAGGGAAACAAAAAAATAGCATATTTAGATTTGTAATTATAGTAATGAAAGAAATTTAACGCGTTAAATGCCACATCAATTATTATTGACTGACAATGAACTTTCCGTTTTGTGAACTTCCTTAGGGAAGAAAAAAAACTAAACATGTTAAATGTCATATCATTGTTGACTGAAACTGAACTTTCGTTTAGTGAACTGAACTTTCCGTTCAGTCACTGGTGACCGACAGAGTAAAGTATAAAATAAAATTCAACATAAACATTACAAGTAATGGCTGAAATTTTTTTAAAAATGTACTTTATTTTTATTACAATTTTTTTTATTGATTTTAGTCTGTTAAGACTGCGTTTCGCACTGCTATACCACAATATGAATGCTTTCAAGTGGTGAGCTAGTCCTGACGGGGATTGGCTTGCCTAAATGGTCAATGTGTTAAGTAGACTAAAGGTCAGATATTGAGTCTAATACAGTAGAACGAGCAAAAGAGAATGCAGTTGACCTGCAAATTTTCCCATTAGCCTCTTTTTTTTCTTTCTGTTTAGAGGGAGGTATCATCCCAGTTGATTGAGATTTTACTGAAATTACATTTTAATGAAGAATAAAATGCATCTATATCTAACAAACATCCATCAGAATAAACAGAGTAGAAAAGAAAGCAAAATATCACCTTTAAGGAATGAAAAATTTACAAAATAATTAAAACTAAATTATTTGTGACCAAGTTTAAAGTCTTGTTTACAAATGTCAACAAAATTTTTTAAATCCTATTCTAATTAAAGCTTACAATAATTAAAACAGATAATGTAAAAATAAATACACAAAGAATGTATAATTAAGTACGTTGAAATGCAAACTAAACATGTTAATTATAAAAATTTGACACAATCATTCGAAAAAGGTATTGTGCTGTTTTCACTTAATACCAGAGCTGAGAAATATTGTTCGTCTTAACAATATTGTAAAAAGAATTCTAGCGATATATCGTGATTGCAAACATACTATGTTTTACAATAAATATTGAACATACAATAAATTTTCTCCGAGATAATAATGCAATCATTATCGTCTACGATAGATATTGCATATAATAGTATGGACAATGTAATCGATGGCTATGAAAATTTAATACGATAATATTTCGATCATTACTGATAACGTTAGGTATTAAATACTAAAATATTTAACCTATTATCAATAGGCATTGTTATCGGATGTGGTTGATAAATTTCATTTGATGGAAAATATTGACTAATTAATGAAAGTGGAAGAATGTCATGATGTATTATGAAATAATATCTTCAGGCGATGTATCGCTATATAAAAATTCTGATACTGATCAGCACTATTTAATACCTTCTGTGAGTAATAATGACAAAATATAGATATTAAAAAATATGCAGAAACAATGGTTCAATAAAGGAAAGAAATTTTGGGGACAAAACCCAAAATTTTAGAGTTCAGTTTTTAAAACAGATATTTGTATAAAAAAATAAATCGATAAATTAAAAGAAAACAAAGTAAATGTTCTTCTCATAAAAGCAATAAGATAGCTAAAATAAATGTTTAAAAACCAAATAATTTTTTTCAAATTTTTTTACAAATTATTCAACAAAAAATAAGCACCTTTTAAGCATTCAAAAGATATTTTTAAGCACTTTAAAAGAATATAATTGGACAAGTTGGAAAGTTTTGATAATTGCCAGTTTTATCTTGTTTTAACCATCTTGCCAAAAAAAAAAATACAATGATTATTTCCTTAGTATTGATATTATGCTATGAGCATTTGATTATAATAATAATTAACAAAAATTAGAAACATGGTAATTTTTTTTCTCAAAATTTAAAGTTAATGAAGCTAGTGAATTTTTCCTTATTTACTTTTTGGACAATGCATAAATTATTAGAAATATAATGTTTAAAATAAAAGGCAGGCATTTTATTTAAAAAAAAGAGAACGAAGTACTAAAAATTTTAAAAATATTCCTAGGGTTACAAAGTTTTTGTATTCTCAAATACATTTTCTTTAAAATAATCGACAGTAATTCAGTAATTGATCTTCAGTAATTGATAATTTTTCTGTAATTTAGTAACTATAGCATAAAACTGAAATCAAATTACCTCTGTGCTATTTTTTAATGCTTATTTTTTTTACAGATTCTTTTTTTTAAATGTGTGCCTAAACTCAACAATTTAAACACAAGCGTGACAGTATACTTGATACACATAAGGCACATTTATTTATTTGTCTTTTTTTTCTTTAAAAAAAAGTATTTAAGTAGAAAAAAATTAGGGAAAAAACCCAAAATTGCACATTTTTGCTAAACAACATTCTCTCACATACAAGACAATACAAGCAAATCTATTAAAATAGGAATCTCTTCGTTTACACAAAAAATAACTTTTTTAAATAGATTATTTATTGCAATGGTTTAATGATAGCTGCAATCAAGTCCAATGTTCATCATTCTTTTTACTCAAGGATCAACGAAAGATATCATGATGTACCGAGTACCATTTGTGACCTTCAAACCTTCGTGGTAATGAGTTAAACGACCAGGATGCATGAGGGTCCAACCCAGCCTTAAATCAGTCACACTGCAGTTGTATCGAATAAACCGACAACCACCACCCTGTGAAAGAATAAAATACACATGTTGAGTGAAAAAAGATCCTAATAGTCATTTTTGGAAGGAAAAAAATTGACATTTCTTATTTTGGTCTTATTTGGTTATAAAACATTAATTTATTTTGCCAAGTTTTTAAATTTCCTAGATCTTAGCAAGGGAAGATACTAAGTGGATGAAGGCAATTGAAATTTTTATTTTGAGAATAACCTTAAAAAGAATGATTTTTTTTTGTTTGTTTTTTTGTAGCTGTAATTTAAAACACAAAGAATACGAACTCTGTGAACTGAACAGTTTAAATGAGTGTTAAAGATTTATAGATTTTGATTAAATGATAATCTGAATTAAATGTCGCACTAGTCTATAAAAATATATTCTATGCCAACATTCTGAAAATGGAAAAAAGAGATGAAAGCAGTATAAAAAATTTAAAAGTGGCTTTTTAAAACTAATAATTATAAACAAAGAACGAAATAGATAGAAGAATCGAAAATAGTAGTAATAATAGTACTAAATAAAAGTACTAATAGTACAAAATAGAAGTACTAATAGTACTAAATAGGAGTACTAATAGTACTAAATAGAAGCATTATAAAAAAGGGGCTCAAGAAATATAGTGATAAAAAAGAAAAGAAATCGCATTTTTTTTTTTGGTCTACCACTGAATGCTCTCATTTGAGTGTGGGAATACATTGTATGTTTTTTTAAAAATGTAAACGGAACAAATAACTAATAATACAAAAAGACTGTAAATGGAAAGCAAATCAGATTTAAAGTCTTATTTTATTAAACTATTTAAGACTTTTACATTAAACTTATATAAATATTATAACAATATCCAACAATACTTCTTCATATTAAACCAAGGCGCTATTTACCACTAAAAATAAATTTCATTTATTTTTAGTGGTAAATAGCCCCTGGTAACATCTATAAATAGTAAAGAAGGAATTAGAGAAGAAAAAAAAGTACTTAGTTTCTACAATATTCAAAAAAATTTAATAAAGTCTTAATTGAAATTTAATCTATATGAAGTAAAGAAAATATAACACAGAAAAGAAACAAGGGACGTGATTTTTAACCAGAGATAGAACAAAAGCTTATTTAAATTATGAAGGGAGCAAATTATGCTGGGCTTACATTATCTACTAAAATAACTCTAAAAGAAAAGAAGAAATATTTCAAATTTGAAAGTTAGAATATCTATGTTAGCTTAAAATTCACAGTTTTTGAATTCGCACATTTAATACTTAATTTTATAAAAAGGTATTTCTTAATGTTACATTAAAAGCGAGAGCAAAAACAGAAAATATACTCTAAATTTTTACCATCAAAAGAAAATATGATAATAAAACGGGTAATGTTTTCACATGACAAACTTCTAATTATCTATCAAAAAAATGTGTCTCCCAGAGTTCAGCTTTGGAAGTGATGAAATTCAAATGAAACAACTTTTCCATCTTTCTTGTCTAGTTGTTATTCAGGGTAAAGAAAAATTAAGAATTTGAAAAATTTTTATAAGAAAACCATGTACTAAACCAAATATAAAAAGAAAAAAGATGCCGTGAAAATTGCTTGAAAACATGAAGGAAAAAAAAAGTACACTGCAAAAATTTAAAAGAGTTAGTTTCAGTTTTTTAAAGATGATTTTAATAACTTGGAAAACTATTTTGGCATTAAATAAGTTCAAAATGCTTTGATATTTTATCCAAAAACATTTACTTTTTTCTTTGAGGTTAACATTTATAAAATACAAAAAAAAAAAAATTTTTTTTTGTTGAATAATTTATAAATTGTTCTATCTATTGTTTTTTGTAGTTTGAAATCAACGCCAGTAATCTTTAATATTTTGATTCAATGCTTTCTTAACACCTCAAAAAATGACTTCTAAAACCTATAAAAAGAAAACTTGTTGTGTTTTGCTTAAGTAAACAGGTAATTTGTTCTCAATAAATTTCACTTTTAGTTACAAATTGTATCAACAGATCACGCTGATTGAGAAAAAGTAAAAAACGATTTTTCCAAAATAACCCCCATTTGCAATAACGACAGTTTTGATAAACGGTTTGTGGTTGCAAGCAGTTTTTGATCAATTTAAAAAATTTCTGTTGGAATGGTCAAAGGGCAACTCATGATCTTAGGGTACAGCTGAAAATATAATTTTATAATCACTTCAGTCAGCTCTGCCATTTTATAATGTTTTCTAACCATTTTCAATATTGAGCAAGTATGAATGTCTAGTTTGCTTAGCAAACTGTACATTTCTAAACCTGGACTAAGCATAGTACAGCAAACTATAAATCTTCTTTCAATTTCTTCAAGGTTCATAGACAAATCTTTCAGCAAAAAATAAGCACCTCTTAAGTACTTTTTAAGCACTATATACATTAACAAAATGCAAAATAATTTTAAAGACTTTACATGATCATGATAAAATAACTAGTTTCTGACAAAGAACTCTTTTCTTGATTATATTAACCATTATAAAATGATCGAGAGTTTTTCAGTTTGATATAAGAGGGTGGAAAAAGAAGCCAGAAATTGAGAATGCAGCTGAGTTGCACATGAGAGTGCAATAATCTCACCGAGCCCAGCTCAAACGACGTACATGGAGACTCACAAGTATTTCATTAAACATGTAAAATGATTGGCCCTATCATACGTTATGGGCCGACGGTACGCCAAGATGGATTGTGGTTGAATGAATTGTGAAAATGTTGAATAGACCAATGTGAAAAGCACGCTTTTGCATAACATGTGACGAAAATTGAAATGGTAAAGAAGAAAAAATCTCGTTTTCAAAAAGGGACAATAGAGCACTTTTTAAAGACACCCATGAAAAAATCACCTTCAAGGGCTTTTAAAAAACGATAATCGAAAATAAGCACCTTTAAGCATTTTTTAAAAATGCTGTGCACCATGTTCTTTCATAAATTTTTCCAATTATCACTTATTTTTGAGACACTCAGTACCTTTATTATAGGAAAATGAATATTAACATAAATTAAATTTGTTTCAAACAAAAGGGGACGTTCTGAAATAATGTCATGCTTGTAGTGGTGAGAGGGGTATATTAAATTGTGACAAGGGGTAGGAAACAAGTGTGAGAAACTACATTTTGGTTAAAATAAAATTATTATTTAAAATCAGGATCAATTAAATAAATAATTTTTTGTAAAAATATTTAATTTGTTGATTCTTTTCATCGTTTTAAAAAAATAAATACACAAGTAATCAATATTATAACTATGCTCACAAATGCCATCCAAAAGCGTAGTTATAGTTTGAAAATAAAATTTGAAATATAATCTTTAGTGTCTGTTTATTTTCTTAACTACTAACATATAAATATATGCTGGTAGCATCGTTTATGACTAGGAGGGGGCTAAGAGGTATGACAAAGCGCGGCACTTAGTAACAAAGAGAAGGAGGGGTTTAAATATTTTAAAAAAAGTGTGATATCCCCTATTTGACCCCTAAAACAGAAGTATGAAAAGTATTGTGAAATTTACAGAAAAAATCACATAATAACATTTAAAAAAAAAAATACACAAGTGGTATACCTCATAATCGATTTTTGGCCTGTTTAATGCAATATTGATAGTATAAGTTGAGGAATCGTGGTGTGGACGAAGTGAAGGCTGTTCATCTGGTCTGTAGCGAACTACAAAGTTCATCAGTGCTTTTGGTGGCTGAAAAATTAAAAATTTAATTTTAAAAAAATTATAATTAATTATAAAAAGCTTAATAATTAGTTAAAAGTAAATTGTTTAAATGTAAATGAAAATATTATATATCACAATTCTTTAATGAAACTGAGATTACTGAAGAACAATGAAAGAGCCTAGTTTGAAAAACATGTTTAAAAAAAATAGTTTGGAAGCAGATCAATATTATTATGTGATGAGGGATATTCCATTAGATTGATTGGAATGGATATTAAACTAATATTTTTGAAACATGAAAAACTAAACTCAGTCGCACAACAGCCCATAGAGGACCAAGGCCTACTGTGCCCATCTCAGTTTTCTTGACCTTGGGCTCTGGGGCGCAGAAGCAGATGTTTTGGTCAGGTGGTCAGCCGAACGCGAAACCCCCAGTGCTTAGTTCCCAAGCATGCTTGGTACTCATTTATCAACCCACTGAAGGGATGAAAGGCTGAGTCAACCTTGCTCGGCCCGAGGATCAAACCCAGGACCTGCGGCACGGGAGTGAGAAGCGCTACCACTCAACCACCAGTCTTTTGAAATATATTCTGACATAAATGTTTGATATCATTTCATGATATTTGAATAACATTTCCCTAATGTTTCGAAAATCAGTGCTCTTTTAGTTTTGACTAAGGTTTTTCATTCTTATTTTATAACGTAATGATGAAAATATTTAAAAGAAATTAATTTCTTTATGAAAGAAATGAATAGAAAAATATTTTGATAACAATCTAAAATTAAAAAAGTCATGCATTATTTCACGAAAATTTCAAACATTTATCAGATATCTTGAAGATACTGTATGAATGTTTCATATTACTTGTTAATTCTTACAGTAGAACTAGTTTAATCTTGAAATTCATAGGTATTTGAAAGAGTGACAAATTTATTTAACTAGGGCAAGTAATTGATAAACTAGGAAAAATTGCTTACCAAACATTTTTTTAAAAATTTTATTTTATTAATTTATTTATTAAGTTCATACTTATTTTAATTAAAAATAATAATAATCAATCTATACACATAGTTAAAACTAATCATTGAAAATAAAATACAACAAAAAAATATAAATAAACATAAAAAATAATTAAAAACTTTAATCAATATATAAACAAGTATTGAAACAATATATAGATAAAAAAAAACTTTACAATACCAAAAGCTATATATTGTGACTTATAGATTAAGAATGTTTGTAGAAAATGTGAAAGATTATGTGATTAGATATTTATGTACATTTACATATTTTCTATCATGTTTATAAATTATGCAATAATTAAAAAATTTAATCATTTTATGAATAAGTATAGAAATACATTAATAAGTATAGAAATTAATACATAATTTTGACTTTTGCTTTCTTGATATTCTTTTTTACATATTTAAAGAACTTTTTGATGATATATTATTATTTAACAGCAAAATACCTTTCAAACAAAGGTGAAAAATAAAGTGATTGCTTTATTATAATAGAAGCGATTGATAATATTTAGAACTTCTAAGAAATTTTAAACAGTTTAAAGCCATAAATATATGTGATTAGTGGTTTTGAGAAAGTAGCTTAAAATTGCACATATGTCAGCTTTCAGATTTCTAAAAAATTTAATTTTATTACAGTTTAAACTGATAGAAACTTGGATGATTTTAAAAAAAAGTCATTTAGTATAAATTACACAAAAACAAAGATAATAATCGAAAATCTAAGGAGGAAAACATTTGTATTATTAAATGATTTTTCAAAACCTAATAACTACAGAATTGCATTGGAATAATTTTGTCAGAAAAAACTGATAGTAAATCTGAAATACTGCATGCTATGTATCTTGAATTCTGATCAGCTGTTTTAGATGTATCAAAAGATACTACTGAATCTAGTTAATATCCACCATCCGTTTATTGTGAAAATTAAGTAAATGGATTAAATGCATATTTAGAATTTTCTAGTCTGTCTCTACCCTTTGAGAGGAGAGAGTCCTTTAAATGGTTAATTGTGTGTACAAAAGTTATAAGTTTTTAATCAACCAAGTATATTTAGCAAAAATAAACAAAAAAGAAAGATTCCTTAGGCTATTTCCCGCACACACCATATATTTGCCACCATCACCAAAGATCTAAGAAACTCTCTTCATTTACAATGGCCACACCAACAAACGTAACTGGACACCATCACCTAAACTTATGTAGCCATTGAAATTGCAACACCATATGGACAAAATAATAAAACTGTACGAAATTAATTTCAAAATCCAATGTTTTTACCCATTTACATAAATATGTAATAAACATTGTTATTTATAAACAAAATAAGATAAATATGTAATTATTATATTTATATTATTACTTACAAACAAATAATAGCAAAGGTAACGATTTTTCAATTTGGTTTTACCCGTTTAAAATTTGCTGGACTACATTAACAAAGTAAACAAGACAAAACCGTATTAGATTATGTTAACAAAATGTTAATGCCATTTGTTTCAGAATAGTGCATTATTTTTTTATTAAACTTTTTGGGGGATTCAAATGGTAACCGCAATAATAAAGATAAAAATGGTAGCTGGATTTTGAAACTACAGTTTATAATTTTCCAAATTTATTTTTGTTATTACTACCAAAAACTTGAAAGCAATCATATAAAAGTGTCACTGAAAATCTCAATACTATATAGAAGCATGGTTATCAGTGCCAAAGCAGTATTTGTTACGGGTGTCCTTTATGACCACTCTTAATACATATTTTTAGACAGACTAAATTTTGAAGTTTTTTTAATAATTTAAAGATATTTCTTATATTAGTTCTTTGGTGATGGTGTAAAAATAAGCAGCGCCCTTAAAACAAATAAAAATAGACAATTAGGACAAAACAAATTTCTTATTTAGTAAAAAACAATGCATTTCCTTTTTTTTAAATTATCTTTTAAAAATGAGTTCCCATTCATCATGAAATACATAATTGATTATGGAGTACTTTCTTTGTTAATTTGTTTCATTATAAATAGTTAGACTCGAGTCTTGCAAAACAAAAGTTTCGACTATGAACTTGTTGGCATTTTTATATTCCGTAACAGTTTAAGAATTCTGATTAATGACCTCATCCTGTATGATGCTGCAATTTTATTGGCCAGTAATTTCCACTACCAATCGCCCATCATTCTACTTACATCTTCATATTTCATAGTAAATACAGAATGAGTTAAGTGATAGTTGTAATCTCTCATGAATTGAATCCATTTAGTTCCAAGATCCACTTGATCAAATACCTATGCAAATGTCAAATTCCATAAAATAACTTACTTACACCAATTGTCTGAATGGTAAATTTCAAATAAAACTTTTTTTTTAATATTCAAAAAATTGTTATTTATTTACTTATTGCTGGAGTATTCATTTTAATTTTTGAGATTTGTTGTACCTAGTGTTTTATATTGAACCAAAGAAGAAAAAAAATAGAAGCAATTTCTCAAGGTATACTTAAACGGAAATGTCAATGATGGTACCAAAATAATGCTAAAATGTTTTAAAACAAACCCTCTTTTTTAAATTTTTTTTCTTCTCTTTAATGAAACTTCATTAAATACAGTCAAAATAACATTAATATTTTTTTTTGTTTAACGTTTACATTTGCATATAATTCAACAATTTATATGTCTCTTTCTCTCTTGCTCTTTACTCATTTTTATTTTTTAATGGATAATTTTTTTCACCCATACATAAAAAAACAAACACAACTCACTATATACTCAACTCTATTTATAAAAAAGTTACATAAAATAAAAACATTTAATCATTACTAGAATAATACTTTGCTTTTACAGATCATCCTAATTTATATTACACTGTTAACTGATTTTCATAAATTTCTAGTTTATTCAGAAATATGTTTCTGTAAATAAATATGAATATTTTTTAAAATACATAAATTTGAAGATAGAGTTGATATTTTGGCTAAATCTAAATATTATATAAATTATTATAGCTTCTTTCTTGTAATCTACAAAAAAGGTTAAATAAAAGTCATAAAAAAGTTTTTGAAAATAAATTTGTTAAATAATTCATGATGTGATAAAAAGAGGTGTAATTAAAGTCATACATGTTTAGGTAATTTTATTAAATCTACAATAAGATAATAATTCTGATAAGTGCACTTAATAAAAATTTATGGTTAACAAGAATATGGAATTATAAGAATAATGTTATGGGTAAATTCAAAAATTTATTCACATTTCTTTATAACACACATTTTTTTATAACAAGAATAAGAAATAATAAAATATATACTGTTTTGATATTTCAGAAAAAGTTTAAAATTCAATAATCAATACAATCAGACTAATAAAAAAAAAATTTCCTTGGTAATGGATCTTTGATTGATGTTTGAAGTACTGCTTTACAAAAAAAGAACTGTTTGCTGCAATTAGTCTCACTATTGTAAAGTCAGTATAGTTACTAAATAGGTTTTACAAAAAATATTTCATAATTTAACTATTATGAATTTTCTTATGTAAGAATTTTTTCCATTTAAGCCGCCGTGTAAGACAAATGATAAATTAATAAAATCAATGTAAAAACTCCAAATAAAAACAAAATATATTTTTATAAATACAAAAAGTACATTCGTAGGTTTAAAAAAAATATTTTAAAACTATATAATAATTAATGGTATATTTTTTACAGGTTTATTGATATAATTGAACTAAAAAGGAATTAACCTAATTTGTTTGATGATTAATAATAATGTTAGATTATTTTTAAACAAAAAGGGGAAAAAAGAGCTCATACTAGATTTTGACTTATTATTTTTTACTCATTAGCAGGACTAGGATGTTGAAGATAAATGCATGTTTGATTGCTTTTTACTATTAAAGAATTCATTCGTGTTTATTTATTAAATAATGAAATAATTTTTTTGGTCATTTTTTTAAATTTTCAGATATTTTTTATGAATTTTGAATGAAGCTCTTCAGTTTAAGAGCATTTTGCTTGCTAAATACAAATACTTATAATTCCTTTAAGCATTACGATTTCAATGGAACATTTTCCACAAATTTCAAAGCGAATCAATTAATTAGAAGTTAATCATTTATTCAAATGAAAAAAAGCAATTAATATCAATTTATTTTTTAACCCTAACCCATCATTGCCCGGTCACAAAAAAAAATTTATTCTTACATGAAAAGTACTTACAAGGAAAAAAAAATTCAATAAATATGACCCATTACTTTAGTTTTAAAAAAAAGCACTGTGCTTTTATTTTAGAATGAAACATAAATATTTTTATTATTATATCATATGGTAGAATTGTCTTAATTCTGCAAAATGAGTACTCGTTCATGAAAACTTGTGCAACCGCTTTCTTTTTGTTAAATTTTGAATAAAAGGAACTTTCCATATAAGACAGTGATCCCGTGTCCTGTTAAAAATGAGCATTGAATCATGTTATTTTAAATATCCTCCAATAACAAATGTTTATGTTGAACAGATTTTTACAAGATAAAGAGTTCACTTTTGCACTATAGACAATCCTTAAATTTTAAAAATATTTAAAAAAAAATAGGTTTAGTGTTCTTAAAGATAGTAAGTAAAAATCAATTAACTCTTAATCTATCTTAATCAGGCATTTATTTACATTCTATTTTATTCCAAAGTCCCACATTTATTTTTATTACTACCTGATTTTCATTCATTACATTTTTAAATACAAGGTACAATTTATAATTTTTGTAAAAAAAATAAAACAAAAAACATGTTTTAGAAAATTTTTAAAAGTTATTTTTGATGTTTTTAGAGACTTTATTTGAATTCTTAAAAAATTTTTAGAATAGTTATATTTCAGCCACCCTTCGATCAACAAGTAATTGTCAGCTATATCAATTATTGATGAAAAAGGAAAGAAAAATATTAACTTACATCGTGTGTATATCCGATGAATATTTTTTCTTGCATTGGTCTTATGTACTCTCTAAGGAAATACAACCAATGCTGCTCAAACCCGACTTGATTCATATGTATGTCACGGGTAGGAACATTTTCATAACCTCCGGCAAGACGTGGGTCCTAAATGTACGGAAATATTAGCAGAGCATAACCATACAATTCAAAACATAGAAACATTTCTGTTATTATACAGGTTACATTTGCAGGGGTAATTGTGAGCCCAGCTCAGAAATCCTGAAAATTTCTTGAGTAAAATCATTAATGATGCATCTTAAAAAATTAATGCCTTTATAAATTTAAATTATTGATATTTTCAAAACATGAAATTCTAAATAAATTATATGCAGCATAATTTAAATGAATAATTATGTATAAGTTTACCTTTATCTCTAATCACATTTATTATTCTACCAGAAAAAAATATTTACGAATGAAATAGATGTTATTAAATAAAATGTACAAGAATTTTTATGCATAAATGTGATTGATGATTTCTTGACACTTCTGAATATTGGATTTCCAGAAACTTCCGGATAGAGGTTAGCAAAAAATCCCGAAATCTAGATTTTTTCCGGAGAACAATCATCTCTGCATTTGCAAATTTTGCTAATTATTACTTTTAATTTTTAAATAGCATTAAATACAATAATTTTAAAAAATTATAACATTTATGACCATGAAATTTTTAAACGTGTCAAATATTTCCTTTGTGATGTATATAAGTTCCTTAAAAGTCTTTCAACTCAAAAATTATCAGAATTAAACAACAAGTGTATAGAATTGGTTTTATTATTGCATTCATTAAAATAAATGAATTATGAGATTAAAAGATATTATTAAGCAATGAAATTACGGAGTGGTTTTTGAAAAACTCATTTGTTACTATACTGTTTCTATACAGTTTACAGTACAGTTTCTATGTTCTATGTTCAGTTCTATGTTCTATGTACAATTTCTATGCTCAGTACAGTAACTATATAGTTTCTATGTTTATTGATAGGAATTTTAAAATACAGCAATGTTTTTCTCTGCTCAAATAGATTTTTTTTTTTTTTTTGAAGAAACAAAAATAGTTTTCCAGAATATTAAATCAGTCTGAAGTAATATTAAAAAGCATAACAAAAGATTTAATAACATTCTGTGGAAATTAATTTTTTTCAAAACTATGAAATAATAAATTGCATTTTTGTACAGATTCCCAATTAGAGATCATATAAGTTTCAAAAAGATTGCAATATATGAAACAAATTAATAAATTTGTCTATGTTAAAAAGGAATTCAAAATTGAAAAAATTTACTAACATTAAAAAGCTACTCACTCACGGTTTTAAAAAAATTTAATAAGAAATAAGGGGCCTTAAAAAATCAAGAAATTTAAATTTTCTGTAGTTTTGATAAATTTTTTTTGTAATCTGGTAGCCAAAAGTAAACCAAAAAAATATGAAAATTTTTCAGTAATTGCTATTCCAATTGAAATATGCACGTTACTAAGTATTAGTAACGTGCTATTAAATATTAGTGCAAGCATCATACGCCTGGCATTCCCCAAATCAAACTCTTTGGCTTTTTCGATTTTGGATCAAAAATGTAAAAAATTCCCTGATTTTTATGAAAATTTCCAACTTTTATGATTTTCTAGGGAGAACTACCCTGTAATATTATGTAAGCAGTTTTTCAATTAATGATTTGGAAAACTTCTTTGTTCGTTTACTACTTACTTTGTTTGATCCATCAGACCACTGTCCAAACTCCTCCATAGTGTCAATGAGGTGTTTGCAGAATATGGGAGTAACAACAGGAAACCAATATACATCTGGGCAAGGCTGTAATAACAATATAGATAACAAACAATATAGATTATTACAACAGAGATTGAAAATAATACAGATTATTTGAAGCAATTATAAAATAAATGCAAGCAACCATTTTTCCCCTGTCACTATTTTGCCTGTAGAAAACTGTATCCTCTTTAGACTTTAACTAGATATCTTACAAATTTCATACTTGTAGAAAAGACATATATTGTATCAACAAGAGTTTTTATTTTGCACAAGTAGTATGTATCTCTATCAAGAATATATAAATATATACATACATATGCTTGACCAGTCAGCACACGAAAAAGATGCAGGTCGAATTTGAGATTGATAGACGGTTTAGTAAAAGACCTTTTGGTATTAAAAACTGGAAATGATAGCAAGAAAAAGGTTGGCCTGGAAAAACTTCTTGAGAAGACCAAGGCCCACCCTGGGCAGTGAAGATGACAGATATATATATATAAATTTGTTATTTTCCATTTGCATATATTTTATTAGTTTGGTCTTTATATTTTAGAATATTAGATAACTATTTAGAAATTCTATTACATATTGCTGCAGCCCATACGAGCCTAATTTTTGAGCAGCTGACCTTCACTCAAAAAGGTTGTGCATTACTAATAATATAAAGTTATAGCTATAAAAATTAGAAGGATTCAGATAATGATAAAACAGATACAAAAAAGACAACATACCATTGCTACTTCATGGGTTTGATCTAAAACTTTTGAATAATTTTCATGAATGTACCGATGTTCCCAATCCTAGGAAGAAATTATAGAGTAATAAGTATAATACAGAACGGAAATGAAAAGAATAATGAACAATCAGTTTACGAAAAATAGTGTTCCTTGATCAGGTTATATAGCTTAACATGTTACTTAATATCTTTAAAAAAATTTTTGCAAAATTATGATTAAACTACTGGTTAATAAGATTTATATTTGAAGTAAATGCATCTTTGAAAACAGGAAAATTTATACAGCTTAGAAGTTCAAGAATACGATTTTTGAATAAAATTGACCATAAATATTCTATTTAAATACATATTTTTTTGAGACAATAAAAAATATGTAACTGCAATTCCCTTCAGAGTAGATAAATCTCAAATTCAGGATATACAGTTTTGCAATCAATTTACATATATTTTAAATTTAGAAGAAGTTGGATAATCGATTAGTTTTCAAATCAAACAGAGACAAAAAAAAAACACAGATTAAATTACAACATAAAAAACAAGCGGCTTTAAAATCGTTACAAATAACTAAATTCAGAGAAACATTTTGAAGAGCAGAAACAAATCCATAAACTTTAAATGTATGTTTTTAAAAGAATTATCAAGATTATTTTATTACGTTTTTATTTATTTTTTGGAAGAAAAAAAAATAAAGATATAAGGCAAAAATGATTTCTATTGGCAAATATTTCTATCAGTAGTGGATTTTCAAACAAAAGCTAAATTTTTGAAGAAAAATTTCTTTTTAGAATAACAGAATTAATTGATAACTCAATTAAAATTAATATTTCATAATAGAAAATATAGCTGATTTTCAATAATTACGGTAAAAGTTAGTATTTACAAATCAAAGGGTTTATAGAATATTTATTATAAAGAATCTCTTACCACTTGATTTGTGTAAATTTCATACAGATCATTATGTAGATGGCTAGTGTCAAACGTTTCACTGTTAATAAGATGACCAAAGTCATGAAGATTTGAAATGTACATAAATATACCCTAAAAAAGAATAAATATTTGTAAAAAAAGACAATATCTTTATTCAATAATATAGGTTTTTTAAATACTTTTATGTTAAAATTAAGAGTTATGGAGAAAAAATGTAGCTAGTTGATACCCAAAACAAATTTTGCAATAACACTTTTATACTATATTTTCCAGTTTATAAGCGAACTTTTTGAAAGCCTCAATTGTAACAAAATTTTGAGGCTAGACTTGTAAGCACATTTGGATAAAATTTTAACTACTTAAGCTTTATAACTAAGTGTATTAGATTAGCACATTTAGCTTTGAAGATATGATAATTTGAAACATTTTCTTATCTAATTTTTTCGTTTATTTTTAATGCATTCGAAGTTGAAAGTGTCAATTTAGAAAAAATGAGGGGGAGGGATTTATAGGTGTGAAACTGAGTGCAAATAATAACACAATTCTAAACTTTTAACAGAAATCAGAAATAAAAATACATACAAAAGTTATAAAAATCAAACCACTGGTGCATTAACATGTCTACATTTCTTTTCTTTTTTTTGTTAAAAAAAGTTAATTAAGAGAAATTAAATGAAAAATTTACAACACAAAGAAAGTGTTTTTTTTTTTTTACAGTTATTATAAAATAGGCTACAGTAGAATATCTTTATAACTCAATGATATAAACTGCAATTTTTCATAAACCACACTTTTGACACAATTTACCCTTAAGAAATTTTGATAGCTAAGCAAGAAGTATTAACTTTTTACAGTATTTGTATAATTATTTGCTAAAAGGTTAACATTTCAAAAACTAAGCAAACCAAAATCGATTAACTGTTTGAAGAAACAAAGAAGTTGTACTGCATTTTTAACGTCTTAAAGTTTTTATAAACAATCAAACTAGTTTTTGTGTTCTCAGTACCACGGTATCATGGTAACAGTATCATGGTAACCATCAGTATCATGGTAACAGTAGAGATTAATTCGATTTTCATAGTGTCTTTCTCTCCTCATGTAAATATTAATTTACTCCATTTCTAACAAGGATTCTGAAAGTATATATTCAGAATAGTCATTACAGGTCATCTTGAAATTTAAGAATTTAAATTAAACATAAACATTTACTCATAAGAGCTTGAAAAGTAAGATTTAAGTAAGAAAAAAAAATATTATCAAAATTTGACGAATTATTATCATGGTTATTTACAATGCAAGTGATATTGCCATCAAAAGAAGTTTGAACTGTAGGATAAAAATAAATGGAGTTTCTAATAACCGTTTATACCTCCCTTTAGTTTTATCCAACAATAAAACTAGTTTTGATGCATTTAATTAGGCTTTTAGTGAGATTAGCCCTGATAATGATTCGTCACAGATTCATATTATTTCAGTTAAATTCTTGCTCGAATATTTAATTGAGAAAGTTAGAGTAGATTTTCATTTTTGCTTTATCTCGATTAAAAAAATTTTTTTATTTAAATACATAAGGTGGAGGTTATTGGACAATGAGTATATGTCAGAATATACTGATGAAATAAAAACAAAACAGAACAACAACAACCTACCTTATCACGCAAATTTTTACAGAAAGCCATATCAGGATCAAACAGCCCATGAATATATGAAGGATAGTTTTCTGTATCTCTCAACAATGATCCATGAATAAGGTAAGCGTGATTGATGTAGGGCACATTCCAAACCCCCCTGCACAAATAAAAAAAAAGGAAAGAAAAAATTAAAATAAGAAAAACAGTTAAAATGATCAAGCAAAAAAGTCAGATAAAATTAGTACAAACATACAATTAGATTTGAAGACTTCAAAGCTAATGCAAATTGTTAGGATGCTTAGCATTTTGTTTATGAGGTATGTAAAACTATCTTTTATTTTAAAAGAACAAGTGTCCTTGCAGTGTATCTACCACTACAAAAATATAATTCCAATTCACTAGTATATAAAACACGTTAACTCAATTCTATGTAGCCCCCCCCCCAAAAAAAAAACTCAATGATGACCTTACTTCAATTTATGCTCTACTTCAATAAGGACTTAACTTCGAATTACACCATTACAGAACGTTTGAACTTTTTTTTTAAAATTACGACTTTCAATTTTATGTCTTTACCGATTAGACGAATCGGCAAGTGGCACTTCGCACCTAACACCGATATTTCTCCCATTTCCAGCATTCTATGTTGGGGTACCTTTTCATAGATGAAGGTTGACATTGTCGATACTGCTCATTCCACATTGGTGACCTGGACGTGACGTGAACACGCCTATCTTGGCAGAAACGCCCACTACTATTTGAACACGCCTACTTCGATGCATGGTCCACATTGAACAATTGACTTGCAACTTGTGACTGCGACATTGTCCTCCTCACGCTGTTGCTTCTCAGTCTCGATCACGTACAACGCATACACTCGACTGCAAACGGCAACACATGAGAGTTCACGACCGTGAACTTAATACAGCTCTCACGATTAGCACTCAAAAAGTACTGTAATCTTAATACAGCTCTCCCAGCTTCTCACAAAACGGCAATGAATCAACTAGTGGTATCCGCTCATCGAATTCTATCACAGATATTATTCTGGTTGGGGAGTACTGTAGTGTATCTACCACTAGAGATATATACTTCCAATTTACTAGTATATAAGACAAAGTTAAAAAAAGGAAGGAAATAAAGGGGTCAGCCCTGTGGCAGAATCGTGGGGACAGAACGTTATAGAGTTTTTGCAGAAAGATTTTTCATTTGGAAAGGGAAAAATTTTGGTTTTCTTTTCCGCATAATTTTTCGCCAAACTTTTTTTTTTTTTTTTTCCTTCAAAGATGTCTGTTTTGCGCATCAGAGAGGAAAGAAATAATCATGATTTCTCTATTCTCATTTGTGATTTTTAAAAAAAAAAATCAATAATGACGGGCTTCAGCCAGAATTTCAAATTAATATTATAAAATAAAAAAATTCAGAAATCGCGAATATTTAAAAGATAGTTTGATCTAGAAATGATGTTCTTTCATTCATCTTTTTTTTTCCTTTTTAAAGAACACCATATTTCACATGCACTTATTTGAGTATCTCTTTTTTAAAGAGTCCTATTCGCGTATTCTTTATTTTGGGAGTTACTGCACTGATTTCACGACTTTTAATTTATGTAAGAATTTTAATTTGTGTAATGATTTACAAAATTTGAAAGAGGAAACAGTTAGTACATTTTTCCGCCTACAAAATGCGAGAATATCATCTATAATATTATAATTAAAAAAATATTATTTACGATTAAAAATTTGCATATATTTTTATTCTATACTTTCTTTTGTAAACACAACGTTTCTGTTACTTTAAATTAGTAATTGTTATAATTAAAAGTATCTTAAAGCCAAATATATATCAGTGCTAGGGAAGTTTGTCGCAGAAAGCCTGAAAAAATTCTGCCACGGGGGGGGGTGTCACATTATGAGATTAGGAGATATAGCGGTTGAAAATTTTTAGAACTTCTATTGAATTTTTCCTCAAAACTTTGAAGCAATAAAATTATGTCATTTGTGGTTTCGAGTAAGTAATTTTAAACTACATGTTTCTCAGTTCTTTAGATTTTCTAATCTTACTGTAATTTAAATTGATGAAAAGCAATTTGGATGATATTAAAAACTTTTCTTTGACTTTAAATGCATAATAAAACAAAATACTTATCAAAAATCTAAAAACTGTTCACCATTTAAATATCTTTCAAAAACTGTTGATTGCAGAATGGTATTGGCATAATTTTGAGCGAAAAAATTATTAGAGAGTCTAAAATACAGCATGATTTATATTCTGGGTAGGTAACGGTCTTGCATGTATCGAAAGATAGTGCCAGATAGTGAAAATGAAATAAAGATTAAAAGCATATTTAGAATTTTCCTCCTTTTAGAATGATTCCATTTGATTAAACGAACTTTATAAATTCAATTAAAAATAATGAAAGAAACGATATACATGGATCAATCTAACAATTAGTTGAGTGATCAGACTGATAGTTAAAAAAACAAACGCTCGTTTTTGAAAACAGGAGTTCGAATCCAGCCGGCTGAAGACTCCCCGTGTAGTAAATGATGACTGGTGCACGTTAAATCTGACGGGTGACAAAGTCCTCCATATTCCCATAACAAATCAATACCTCTGGGGGTACTGAATTTGAGATTGATCGTTCTCTGGTTCAGGTCAAAATTACGATCTATGGACGAATGAATCCGCCCTATTAACGGGTGTGGCAGACGTCAAATTCTTGGCCATAGATGGCGCCACTGTAAAACAAGAATAATCGCACCCCTCTGCCTTAATGGCAGACGACAACATCAAAAACAAACGCTTGGCTTTTCTTATATGTTCTAGCATTGGAATGGAAACTCTATATTTAAAATATAAACATTCTATCAGAAATATGTTAAATAAGGGCTAGAATTTTTGCGTAGCTTGCATACTATTGTTTCAAAAGAACTTAATACTACAAAAAATATTTTAACACGCCTTTTTATTTTAATTCATTATTATTATTCTTTTTTTTTTAATTATAAAAATTGAAAATATAAAGTAAGAAAACAATGAATGGCTTGGCGGTAAAATGGTTGTGCTTGGCGGTTTAAAGTTACCGCAACTAGGCTTGATTTATTATTACGTACAATCACTTGTTTTTTTTTTGCACCAAATTCTATTCTACAAGTATTAAGATGCGAATACGGAAATCTGTCATATTCTGAACTGTTAGTTTAAAAAATTTTGTTCTTTTTTAACATTTATTCCTTAGCAAAATAAGACATATTTATTTTATTAACAAATTCGACTCTACAGCTGTTCTGAAGCAATTCCGAAAATATGTCATTTACCGAATTGCTAGCTTAAATTTATCATTTACATTTATTCCAATAAAATATGTCTAAGATAAAAATCAATACTTAAATTTAAAAAGTAATGTTTGAACTTCTTGAAAAAAAAACAATAACGTGTTATTGTACTTGTTCTTCGGTTCGAGAAGCTAAAAGAACTAAAAAAACATTGTTGAACAGTAATTGAGTAATTAAAAATAAAAAGAAAATTTTATTTGGACTTAGTATTACAGCTTTAATGAGGATATGCGATCCTCCAAATTATAAAGACACCGTCTCTATATTTTGGAGGGGGAAAAGAAAAGAAAAAAAAACGCCTTTTTTTGCTTTAAATCTTCTAACTGGTGTCTGATTTTCAACTTTTTTAATAAGTCGATGTTCTTAAACAATTTCTCAAAAATTATTTATTAATCCTTATTTTTTTCCAAGTTGTAAGCGAATTCGCAGTATAGAAGAAACAAAACACGATATTATTAAAAAGAAGAATAAAAAAAGAAAGGGAAAAAAAAAGCGAGAAAGAAAAGACGAAAAAGAAAAAACGTAATCTTAAACGACACCCTTTAAAATAGCTTCCTTGTTATTTACAGCAATCAAGTTCACGGCAACCTTCCTTAGATCTCTCCTAAACAAACCACTTTCATTACACCCCTTAAGAAAAGTGGATTTTGACTTCAAAATCGGAGACAGAAACTTTCGCGCCCCCTAAAATCAATAGTCGTCGTCTCCCTTCAGTAGGTAACCCCCTTTCACACAATCGTTGCGGCAGCTGCAGCCGAGAAGTAAATTAATCCGTACTCTTCTCGAGATCAATAGGTGGAAAAAGAACCTTCCGGCAACAAGCAACCCCCAGGGAGCAGAACAACCCTTTTTCATCTACTTAATTTTTTTTCTTCTTCTTTAAGTGCCGCTTCTGGTCGCAGAAACAACTTGAAACGTAATTGCTCTCGATTTTCCCTATTAGGTAAGCCTTCTGTGTTTACATCGTTAACAACGTTAGAAATGATGGAAGGATTTGCTTTCTCATAGGTCCGCCTCCAATTAAGTAGGAGGAGTAATGCATGTAGGTGGAAATGAAATTTACCTCTAAAGTGATTGTTTGATTTATTTATTTGTGCTTCTGACCGTAAATTAGATTCAAGGGCAGGAAGGCTTAGGGGTTTTATGGCAAGATTTTGGCGGAAAAGTAATTGAGTGTTTATCTAAAAAAGTCATTTAGTGACACGAGAATAGTCTTTTTTAAAAATGTTAGGAGATTAACTAAGCGCTGAGATATATTACTTTCCTGTCACCAATAATTACATCACAAAAGAAAAACAATAAATTTAAAATAGGTATAGATGGTGCCTCGTAGAAATGATTAAGTTCATAATTTTATTTTATAAATTGAATTTAAATGAGTAGTTTTATCTTGACGATACATGGTGTTTTTGTGTTATTTACAGCAACTAACACACGAAAATAAGTTATTTATAGCAGTTAAATAGAAGTAGTGTGTAGTCAGGCTAAAAATAAAATGCATTACGAAAAAAATCTGCGACGTCAAACTAAACTTTATTAAGGAGATATCGATTTGAATAACCATAATTCGTATTGGTTAAAAATTATATTCGATAGTTTTTAATTTAGTATCTTGATTATGGAGCTGAATGAGTCTTTAAAATATCACGATATTTTTCGATGGTTGTTTGCTTTTTAAAAATGCAACTCAACATAAAAAAATATATAAATAAAATTTTTAAGAAAAGTATTTAGAATTAAAACAAAACAGATATAAAATAGGATTTCAGGAATAAAACAAACATGTTTCAGCAAGTATAAGTAATTGCGCAAGAACTTAAAAAAATTAATATTTTCTGAAACCGAGAAACATTTTTGTTAAATAAATAAATAATAAAATTAAGAACATATTAAATAATTTTAATGACATTCCAGTAGAAATTTTCATAATGAGATCGTAAATTTAAAACTTAGTTACGATATTAAAATATTAATTGGCACGCGTCTTATCTATATGCAATGAATATCAATATAAAAAAGAAAAAAATTTCAGCTTTAAAAGAAACACCATGAATTTTCTCAAAAATCTGTTTTCCTATGTAAGTATATTTATGACATGACAAACTTAAATACATATAAAGTTATAGATCCCAGATGTTTTGAACTCAGTTTAAGAGTCAATAAAATAAATTATGCTGAACTGAGTGAAGGTTCGCACGATATGAAACTTCCATTTTAAGCTATGATTCTGATTCTTATCCCGTTTAAACACACATTTACCAGATTCTTTTTATAGCTAATGTAGTTTCCGATGCAAGTAAAAAAGAACATTTTTTGAATCTTTTTTTAAAAGGGTGGATTACTAAGTAAACAAAAATAAGGAAATAAGGCTAATCTAAAAGTTAAGACATAAGAGTTTAGAAGAACTCATAAGAGTTTAACATTTAATTAATCACAAAACCCGCAATTAGCGAAATTTCAATAAACAAAACTGCAAATGCCAAAATCGTGATAGACATGAGGATTCGTATTAAATTTGTTAATAATTTGATAGATATAACTAAGCAATGTTATCTTAACAAACACTAGTGTAGGGAATAGTGGACAATATTAGTGGACATAGCTAAAAGTGCATCAATTTTGAACAAGATGTTTTTATGCATGAGTGAAACACCTATATTATTTAAATTTATCTCATTCTTTTCAATCGATTGAAAAAATAAAAAATCGGAAAATAATTTTGCTTCAAGGAAACATATTTTTAGGCAAAATAGGTGAATGCCAAAATAGGAGGAAGAATATTTTTTTTCCACTTTCTATTGGTCAAAAATAAGAGTAAATTCGATGAATTGTGTCCCAAACCACTTTCTTTAACCGATGCAACGCACCAAAACGAATTTTTATAAAAATTATTATTTTAAAAATTATGAAATTATTTTGCTCCATTTCTGTAAACATTTCACAATTTCTCCAAACTACTCATTAAAAACCTACTATTATAAAAGGAGCAGGTAATCTAATTGATATCAAAATTTTAAAACGCTATTTTCTCAGAGACATCAAGTTCTCAAATAGAGATGCCCAAGTCAGAGGCTTAACTAGATCAGTGTTCGTCTATCATTCAATTAATTTCCGTTTGCACTATTCCTATAAGACGACGTATTGCTATCCAAAAATAAAATAAAAATAAAAAAACGTATTCTTATTGGTGGCATCTGTCGCGGATTGATAATTGATGGATTTCCAGTGGACAATTAAGTGAAGACACATCAGCTTAGACATCTCGATTGGCTCATTTTTCATTAAAAAAAATTCTTTTGTTTTTGGATAAAACTTTTTAGATATATTTCCAGAATATGCAACATGAAAAATAAATTACATCTGATTATATCTATACGTCGTTATTAATCATATTTAGACTTAAAAAGTTGTCGAAAGCAGTGAATTTAGGTTTGCGCTTTTTAAATGGAATGATCTGTGTTTTAAAAATATGTGAAAATAATATTACAGTAGACTTTCGTTATACCATGCTCCATTAATATCGTGCTACTTTTAAAAATTCCAAAAAATAATTAAATTCCTCCTTTTTTTTTCTTTTTAAAGAGAGAAAAACAAAACTCAGTATATTCTATGAATTCATTATAGTTTCAGGGTTCGTAGGACATTTAAAAAATCTATAGAGTGGCGTAAATATTGCAATATACAGAAACTAAAATGTCTTTTTATTTCTTTTCATAGTTTTTCTTTAGAATTTAAATTTCAAAACGCGTGATTTTGTTACTAGATTTATTTATTCAGAAATATTTATTGTTGAGGTAGATACAAAGGTGTTAAAATACTCATCTCATTTCTACCATAATCAAAGTATTTTAAGGATAGTCCGATTGTTTACTTTAGCGTACAATAATTCTCTTAATACTAAGGCACCTGAACTTCATGAGATTCACAATGAAGAGATTCACAATGAGAATTGAGAATCTCTTTAGAGCAATTTTTCACTCGAATTCCTGTCATTTTTCTCTAAAAATTGCTTGCGAGGAAATAAAATTTAAAATAAACCAACTTTCAATCGGTATTTGTGGAAACTAAAAAACTCGTATTTTTTCGTATTTCACAATTTCTAACATTAAATCGCGTGCTCAAATATATCATCATAGCGGCCAACACGGATAAGAAACGATCCAGTAGCTGTTACGAAGTAATACAAATTTCGTGCTAATTGTTGCATAATGTACTAAATATTTTACACGCATGGAATTTTTGGGGATTTTTATATTCATCACCATAGAAAAAACTACCATATTTTCAAGTTATGTTTGGCATTAAATATACTTCTAATGTTATGTATTATGTTTACTCACAATTTCCAATATTAATAGGCATTTAATTCATCAAAGATAGTTAGAAGATTTAAATTATAATTTGAGTTTGAATAAAAAAAAAAACTGAACATTTTGGAACAAAAAAGTTTTGAACTAATTTCTATAAATACTTCATTATGTATCAGTAATATTTATTTAAATATTCAAACAAGCAATAATCAGTACAAAAGCTCTATTTCAGTAGGGATTTTCTTTAGGAAACTTACTCAATTTAAAGCAATTTTCTAAAATGTACCAAAACCAGAATTTTAAATAAACCAGTAGACCAGGAGAAACTGTAAAAGATCCAGTAGTCTACTGTAAAATCCAATAGAGTTAGCAGCTATGTACAGGGTGCGTAGCCAAATTATTTAACAAAAAATAAGCATCTTTTAAGCACTTTTCAAGCACTCCAAAAATATTTTTAAGCACTTTTAAAAAAATTCCATATTTAGGCAGGGTTGGGAAGTTTTTCACAATTGACGGTTTTATCTTGTTTTAACCGTCATGTCAAAAAAAAAAAAACGTTTGGTATTGTTTTTGACAATTGTCAAAATTCATGAACTTTTGAATTATGTAAAACGAGTGGCGTTTTCATACGCTGCGGACTGACAATATGCCAAAATAGATTGGGGTTGAATTAATTGTGAAAACGTTGAATAGAACAATGTGAACTGTGTCTTTTTTTTTTGCATAATTCATAGCAAAAATCAACATGGTAAAGGAAAAATCTCATTTTGAAAAAAGGGAAAATTAAGCACTTTTTAAAAACACCCAATGAAAAAAGCACCTTTAAGGGCTTTTAAAAAAAGAGAATCAAAAATAAGCACCTTTAAGCACTTTTTAAAAACGCTACGCACCCTGTTTGTATCACTCAATTTTCGTGTCCATCGTCAAACGGGATATAAGGGACTGTAAAAATAGTACAAAAATTTTAACGATTTTTCGTTTAAATGTTTCTAGAATATCGAACAAATTTCTATACTTCAAGGTATGTAACACCAGGCGCCCTCAAAGCACCATCATGAAATGGCGAATAGCTCTTTGGATAGCTTGCCTCTTAGTACTGCTGATTAGTTTGTCAGATGCAGCCCGAAAAGGCGGCAGAAGAAAAACAAAACATAGGAAGATGGGGTCAAGCAGATTAATATTCTACACAAATGCCAGGAGAAAAGAATACTACGATAATGAAAATGTAAGTATCGAGAACTCTTCCAATTTTTACAATCTCTCCTTTAAGAGGACGCCATACTGGGACAAAGAGACCTGGACAGCCTGGTTGGTAGGGAGCTGGGCCCATGCCCAAGAGTTCGTGGGTTCGATCCCCGGCGGCGAAGACTCCTTGTGTAGTAAATGATGACTGATGCACGTTAAATTTGTCGAGTCGCAAAGTTCTCCATGTTCCAATAACAAATCAATACCTCTGGGGGTACTGATCCAGGAGTTCCCTTGTCTTCTGGATTGGGTTCAAAATTACAAGGCTACGGAGTTGAACATTAATAGTCGTAAACCCAAAAAATTGGGTCGGCTGTTCAACGACTAATATAAAATACTGGGAGAAAGATACAAGCCAAGAGGAAGAAAATTTTCGGTGCAAATTCTCCTTTTTCTTCATTCTTCTTCCTTGTCAGCGCAACAGCCCCTTGTAGGCCTTGGCTGCCTCAATAGCTCACAAACGCCAGCGCCTCCTATCCATGGCAACTCCCTTCCAATTTCTAATCTTTAGGGTTTTCAAATCATTTTCGATGTCGTTGAGCCATCTAGTAGGGGATCTGCCTCTGGGACGTGACCCCTCGTGGTTCTTAAAGGTAACTATTCTCATGGCGCTATTTTCAGGGTTTCTCCATAGATGGCCCAGCCATCTCAGCCTATTACTGTGAATTATTTGTGAAATTTCTCATTACTAATATAAAATTTAAAGTGTAGAAGGAAAAAAAAAAGAGTTCAGACAAACCTAGAGTAAGCCAAGTAGTTTCAAATACTGAAAAGAAAATTTTAAAAAACATACAAATGAAAATAAATTACGAGAAGATAACTTAGGATGACGAAACGGTCAAGTTCCCTTCTAAGAATTAGTTTGCATTTTAATATTTCGAAATATTTTTTTCAGCAAATTAAACTTTTTGACTTACTCTAGGTTTGCACGAACTTACTTTTTTTTTCTTCTTTTAAATTAGTTACGAAGGAGAAAGAGAATTTGTGACCAAAATTTTATTTCACGGTATGACGTTCTCTTCAAGCTATGCAGTAAATTTATGTGGAAAAACATGTTTATAGGGTTAGGGGTCAGGCTAATGATTTTGAAATTTATCCTTCCTTCACTAGACACTGTAATACCTTAAAATTACATCACCAAAGTTTTTAAGAACTAGAAAAATATCTTAAGGTAAACAAATTTTGAATTTTTGTAAAGCCCTTTACTGTTTGCTGTGTGCATCCAGGAAACTTCCAAGAGGTACACATTTTATGTCGAACTTATTTTCACCAATGGATTTCTAATTTGAACATTTTGTACAAGCTTACATTCATATAATTTATTTTATCGCCTTTCTTCTTAACAATTTTCAAGTAATTTTAATTACTATACTTTGATTTAAAATTAAAAAAAAGAAGAGAGAAAAAAATTACATTCCAGCTTTAGCTATTCGCATACATTATTCACCCTTCCAAAAAACAAAAAAAAAATGCACTGTCTTTTAAAACAAAAATTGAAAGAAAGCTGCACACTCACCAATCTGAAAAGCATAGGTTTTTTTATAGATCTCTAGTTGTATAATACTGTATAATAAAGTTGTTATTATAGAGTATATAGTATAGTATAGAGTATATAGTATAGAATAGAGTATAGTATAGAGTATATAGTATAGTATAGAGCATATAATAGAGTATATATATATATATATATATATATATATATATAAGTAGACAACTATTATAATAATGTATAATAACTGTATAATACTGTATATAACTTAGACAATATACTGTATATACTGTATATAACTTAACAAGGGAATTTCTATTCATTCCCTTGTCCTATTAAAAAAAATTCCTAAACAGAGTTTTTTTCCCCCCTATTAGATTGGCCTTTTTTCAAAGTTAAATAACACTCAGATTTCGAAATAAAAGATCATATATTATTGTTGACTGTACGATAAATAGCCTTACATCGCGCTGCAAAAACTGAAATAGAAAGTTTATATTCAATAGGAAACTATGCTTTTAAAATATTCTCTACAAATTAAGTTTATTATTATTATTTAAAATATTCATTAACCTACTCTTACACTTAACAGTAATAAAATAATTTTAATCCATTGACTGAAAAACAAATTGTGAAAGCATTTCTTTAATTTATGTTTACAGGGTGCGAAAATTATCAAGGCATCCCACTTTGATTATGAGTTCATACTAGGCCACAAAATATCTTTCATCTGTGCTGCAAAAGGTGATCCTCGTCCCAGAATCACATGGTTTAAAGATGGAATTGAGCTTCACGCCCATCCATATTTACAGGTAATCAATTTAACACTTGAGAACATTATACTTGAAATGTTCACATAAAATAAAATTCTTAAGGTACTCTTTGTTCTCTCTAGCCCATGTAAACCTTAAAATGATTACATTTAAAAAAAAAAAGAAAAAAAAGTTCCAACATCGACTTATAGAGATTTCAGATTTGTCGAGAAAATTTTCAATAAATGTTTGGTTAAATATGAAAAGGTTTATATAACCTAACTTCTCTGTTTAAAGTGAGTGAAAGAAAAAAATTACAAACTTCTTTAAAGTTATTTTACTACAGATGTCAGAAGAAAAAAAAATATTGGATTGTCGATACAAGTTTCCTTCCCTTTTAAAGTGCTGTAAAATGTAAATTTATTCAATTTATTAAAAAAGTAAAAATTAAAGAGATAAAATGATAGGCTACTAGTGTCTTGCGAAAAATCACACAAATAGTGAAAACCCCTAGCTCTAGCAACAACAATTGATAAGGTATTATAAGTGGCAAAAGCTAACATAGGCTGTTGCAATGCAAACCACAGAAAAGGCAAATTTGACCTCCATCAGCAAATAACAAGCAAGAGAGACAATTTCTCAAATTGCAGCCCTTAATGTTTATTCATAAACATTAAGACTCATTAGATCAATATTCACGAATTATGGCTCAATAAGATTTCAAAGGGCCTTTATTTTCCAACATTGGCTCCATATAGAATTGTTCAATTCACCTGATATTTTACAGCTACTCACAACCAATACCGACCTTGTATAGAATTGTCAGATTCACCTTATATTTTATATTCATTATCCAGCCCCTAGAGGCCCCATAAAGGCCGATGCTGGTCCTATTTTACCATGGCCCACTGGGGGGGAGTTGATTGTTTATGTTTTATATTATTTTGATTTATTAATTTTAATTTAATTGTATTTAAACATGCCTTCAAAATAAAATACAGTTACACCAAAAAATAAATATAAAGTGATTCAACACTTTAACTTACTAGAACGTTAAATCAATGAGAACCCTGAGCTTGTTTCTTTGCAATGAGGTGGTTCCATCTGGGGGTAATCGGAGACAATGATACATTACAAACATTAAAAATTTTATGGCACTACCTTAGGGGGATCCCTTTTTTTCAAATAAAATTTTTTTTAATGGAACACAGATATTTTTAATTTGGGGTACGGTGGATCGGTGTTTGGGGAACACTGCTATATAGCCAATATCCTATGATCCACTGAGGGACCAATATCCTATATTGGTCCCTCAGTGCAAGTTCATAAAGGACCCATAACGGGCAAATTTTGAGTCCAACAGGGCTCAAGGTAAAATTGTTGCAAGGGATACTTATTAAATAAATTCTAAATGTAGACTATCTCTTAGGTAGCATTAGATAATTTTTTTTCTTTCTCTTAAACAGATTACAACATGGCAGAAAGAGCATGATTACATCAAGAGCAAGCTTGAAATTACTCCAGCGAGACAAATGGATTCTGGGACATACGATTGCGAGGCTAACAATAAATACTCGATAGACAGGCGCAGTTTCAAGGCAGATTTTGGATCCATCAGCAAATAAACCAGCCAGAGAGACAATCCAATCAATCGGTGCGGTAGATTATTTTCACAATTACTGCATCATCCAATTTAGGCATTTTAAACATATTTCTTTCCACTACACCACTATAAAGATTTCTTTTACACCTGGTGTTCTCAAATGACAGCCCTTAATGTATATTCATAGAGTGCTACATTGTTTGCCATACAAAATGTCGGAAATTAATATGCACTCTTAGATTTAATCTTAATAATTGTTTCCAATAGATTTAATGTTAGAAGGATAGTTTTAATTGTCTTAAATATTAATATATATGGGTTAAGTGAATAAATGGGTTAAGTGAATAATTTGCTATTTACCATATTTTTTCCACATTCATTCCGTGATAAAGTTATATTTTAATAAGGATTCAAAAATTATACATGCACCTGTAGATTAAGCATGCATTAGGATTCTAAAATCATAAGGGTGTTGATTTGAGAACACCTTGTGTATCACTATACACACAGAAAGATGTTGTTAGTTTTAGCTAATATCTACCTCTTAAAACAACAGTGGAAGACACTATTGCTCAAGAAATGTCTATAAAACAATCTATATATGTGTATAAATATTTACTGTTGATATTCAGTGTAAATATTATTCAATGTGTACTAGCACTAACAATAATGTTATAGCAAGTCACTGACTGTTTTTAAATTTAGACTCAGAATAAAAAATTTCACCTAACATAAATGGTATGTACATTTAATTTTCACAAATACATTAGTTACATATGCATATATGAACGGATTGGGTCAGGAAAATGACAAGCCACATTTTCAAATTGTTCAAGAGAGTGTGTTGGAAAAACCAGCACAATTTCCACAGTAATAAGATGTATCTATGTATTATGCTATTATATATTGCAAGTTCAGGAAACTTGTGGAAAATGCATTTGGTAAACAATACTAAAAATACAGTTAAGTGCAAAAATGTAAACTTTGGAAAAAGTGTGGCTTTATATTGCCCCAAGCTTTATTTTGCAAATGAATTATATTTTGTAACTAAAATAGTTTAAAAACAGATATTCAAAAACATATAACAAAACTAAAATAAACGTTACAAGTAATATTAAAATATTTTGCACTTAAGTTGCCAGCTTTTCAGTGACAATATATTAATAATTACCAATGAAATAAAAAATTATTTTAGGCTATTCATTTCAAACTCTTGGCTCCCTTTATTTTAAGAATTTTCAAGGAGAAACTAGCATAAAAAACAACTGATAAAGCTCTTGAATGTAAAGAGAAATTTTAGACAGGACTTATATCAAAGAATTTTTTTAAATAGTTTTAATCCATAAAGAAGTATCTTCTATGCAGTTAATTTCTATTCTAACAAATTTTGGTAGAACAACAGAATGGTAGACTTTTCAGCTATTAAAATGGCTTGAATTCCAAAAAAAATAATTTTTAATTCCAAAAAAAGTAAAGAAAAAATTTTTAGTATGTTTTTATTTTTTTGCCTTTAGAAATATCAATCATTAACTTAAATCTGAGGACATAGGAGTAGCACGAGGGGGGTTACACATTTTGCGTTGAGAAAACAGCACATTTATTTCAAGTTTCTTGAATATATGTTTAGTTATTTTTTCTATGCACATGTATATTTATAAATAAATCTCAGTATAAAACCTAAAGTAAACGAACAGTTTGGTACATGCAAATTTTAGCCAGTATATATGCCTTTCTGTGAGCATTAAGCAATTTTAAATTTTTCTATAGCAAAATTTCTTCAGCTGCATTAAATAAACTTTTATTTATTGTAAAATATTTTTTTTCTTCATAAATATCTGAAAGGATTTTTCCTTTTATTTTTATTTTTCACACAATTTTAATAAAAATTATTAGACCCGTCCAGAAACAATTGACAGAAAGTCTGCTTGAACAATGAAAATATGCTTAGTTTTCCATCATGAAAAATCGAAGGTTGGTACATAATTTAACTTAATAATGTATTTTGAATAAGCATAAATAAATCATTAAATTTGCTTAAATACATCTCTGCAGAAATGCTGTTTGACTAATGATAACAAAAATAACTGTTGGATTTAGTTTTGACAATCACAATGTCAAAGTAAACTACAGTAGTAGAAAATATTCAATTTAATATAGATGTTGTTTTCAATATAAATGTAAAAAACAACAATCTTGAGCTCTTGATCAGCTCAATGTCCAGTTAGAAAGTTTACAGCTGCTTACTACAGTTTATTCTACGAGGCAATATTTTTCAAACAGATAATTTTATTTTTGATTAAAAAAAAAGAAATTAATATAATTTCTGAACTCAAATCTGCTGTATTTCATAATTGATATTGAGTAATTTTGATGAGTTTGAAGTGGACATTTATTTTAGTTATTTATACATATATTGTTAAAAAAGATGACACTGTTGCCAGATTTAGAAAGAATTTGCTTTTTTGGTAATCCTGATTAGGCCTCCTTTTACTTGTTCATTACTGTTGTAAGTCATGCACCTTCATACTTTAATGTTAGTATATTGCTTAAGCTGTGAGACTAAGTTCATTTTACAAATCATCATTTTGGTTTAAATTTCTAAGTTGGTATATTGTTGACAAGGTAATAAGTGTTTTGTAATGATTCTTTTTTCAAAAGCTAAATTGCACAGCAAGAGACACCTTGAGACTTAGAAATCATTGTAAATACTAATAACAAATTAGGTAACAAATACTTATCAAGATAGTCTCAAAACACGATGAAAACGTTGTAAGCCAAATGGCCTCACAATACACCAGAAGCAGTAACCTGGAAGTATAGGCAATAAAGAGCCTGCAGTGCCCCCTAGTGATTTATCAGAAGCATTCAACAAAAGTAAAATTAAATTTTGTTGTAATTATTACTGTTGATGCAGTCTACACTCTTTTGTAGGACCCCTCATAGCTGCAACCCCTCCATTATAACGATCAAAACATGAAGTTTGCTGTTGCACAGATGAAATATTATTTTAATGCTCAATAAGATTTCCGAAACTGAGCTATTCATTCCAATATAGTGAACGAAATTTTATTTCATTTTCATTGTAATTTCAAGAAAAATCACTTCAAAAACAAAGTATGAAACATTTTAGAGCTTTCAAACCTAACAGTTTTCAATTGAGAACGAATCAATGCATAGCAAAGTCTGAAGGAAGAAAATGATTCAAACCAGTATTTATTTAGATGTTACTTCTGAATAAAGATTAAACATATTAAATTCCTTTGTGAAGAAAGAGGGATAGGGCCATGGATAACCTATTATTATCCTAAATAATCCTAGGTGTAATTTGTGATCAAAAAGATGTTGAAATATGTATTACTTTTTCCATGATTCAGAATAAGAAGTATATATTGCCTACTTGCAGGGGTGATTGTGAGCCCAAGTCAAAATTCCGGAAAATTTCTTGAGTTAAAAAAATAAGTTTAAATTGAAAAATTAGAAAAAAATTTAAGCAAGGTTATTTCCTTTTTCTCAATATTTCTTAGTTTACTTAAAATATTTTTAAAATTTTACACATACCTATACCATTTACACATACCTATGATGACCTGGATAATTAATAAAATTTACAAATATGTCTTTCTTTCTTGAGTTTATGATTATAACAACTATTTACATTATATAAGCTTATAAAGTGTATCTCTAGCTCTCTCTTACAAACAAATAAAATAAACTGTGTTTTTAAGTTCCACCTTTGAAAATTTGATTTCCAGAAACTTCTGTGATCAATGATTTTTTGAAACGTCTGGGCCTTGATCTCCGGAAACTTCTGGATCACTGTAAGCGAAAAGTCCGGAAATCCGGATTTTTTCCGGAGCACAATCAGCCCTGTACTTGTGTGCAAATCGGTTGCATGTATTCACAATCTTGATGAATTTCTTTGCAAAGGGTTCAATAAGTACAACTATCATATATTTGTTTGAAAATTGTATTCTCTTTTGTGACGTGTGGGAATCGAAGATTTATTTTCGAGTGAAAGAAACGGTATTTGCATTCTTCTTGGTTTTATTTTTGTTTAGACAAGCAAAAATGGCTGCCCATAACCAGCATAATGCCACATGCTTAGTACAGAATTTTTCAAGGAAGTGGATAAAGAACAATATTAATACAGTATTTTTGAGTAATGGGTAAATATTTGTCATAGTTTTGCATATTCATAATACAGCAACCTCACACTATAATGTCCATTGGGGACACAGGGGTCGTTATATAATGCCTCGAATGTATAATAAATTTATTTTAATATGGAATAAATTAAATTATAGACAGGTTACCTGCTCCATTTTAGATTTTCAAATTCATGACTTTTCATGACTTTCCATGACTAATTCCAAGAATTTTTCATGATTTAACGAAGTTACTACTTTCTCCAACAAAAACACACCAATAAATTTAAAAAGCATTATAATAACATTCATTGAATAATAGGTAATTGATAATAGGTATAACCAAAACGGTTATACTCTGCATCTTCATATTTATGGATTTTAAATTAAAAAAAAAAAAAAAAACAGAGAATTGAAAGAGTAGAAGCAATAAAATAGCTGAAAAAAATACAAAAGGAAAAAATTTTTTTTTTCTTTTTCTCTGCAGAATTATATTTTAAAGATACTTTTCCTGCTCATCGGAAAGGAAAGAAATGCTCCTCCTTTTTCTGTTCTCATTTTGGAATTAAAAAACATTCACCTATAGCTTGCTTCAGTTAGAATTTGAAATTGATAAAATAAAAAAATAAATAATAACAAAATTCTGAAATCACAGAAGTTTAAAAGATAATTCGCTCTAGAAATGTTTTTTCTTTCATGTTTTGAAAGAACATCATAATTTTTGAAGAACAAAAATTCTATATTTTAATAAAATATGACTGTGAGTGGGGATTTTGTTACAAATTCTGATATTCAGAACACCCTGAAATTCGGTGGAGGGAGTATATTCCATTTCAAGAATTAGATTTTTTGACGACCTAAATCCATGACTTATCCATGATAATTTTTTAAAAATAGTTAAAATCAGGACATTTCATGACAAATTTTGTTCACTGCCGAAATTCATGACTTTCCATGATTTCTCATGACTTTCCAGGTGCACAGATACCTGTATAGAGCAACTTCATTGTATGTAACATAATTATTATGAGCACAAATTATTTTTCTAAAAGTGAATATAATCAGTACACAAGTGCAAATAGCTACAACTTATTTCTTTTTTTTTCCAGATAACTTAATGACATTTTATTAAATTGAATTGCTTCTGAAAAGTCCTTTTTACCCATTTAATCACAGCTTTCATAGATATGTAAATTTGAAGGAAAAAAATTTTACTCACTTCCTCTTTTTCTTCACAATATCAACATAATCAACAGAGCGGGCATAAAACCCATCCGTAGAAAGAGATCCCCAAAAATTGGACCACAATCTATTGGGTCTCACTAATAAGGGTGCTATTATTCGTCTGGAAAAAAAAAAGTCAAACATAAATTTGTAAATAAACACATACTTCTTTTTATGTTTGCATTATAAACATTATTTATGTTTATAATGCAAAGGTTATAAAATAAAGTATACTGCCTTAATATTTAAATAAAAGGGCAGGAAAAAATTTAATTTTTCTACAATTTTTTACAACATAAATGTCATCTAGAATCATTCTACTAAAGATTAATACTCCTAACTATAGTCAATTGAATTCAGTACAATACATCTGATGAAATAAAAATAATAGCAATGCATTTAAAATAATATCATATGATTCAATTACAGATTTTTGAATTTTATTAACTTACAATTCCTTTTAAAATTAAAATAAAAACAAAACTAAATTAGACTGAAACATAATTGTTAACAAAATATTTATATAATAACTCTGAAAAAGTAGATATCAGATTATATAATAAATTATAAATATTTATTAAAACCAATTGTATAAGACATTGTCCATAAAGAAATTAATAATATAGTAAGGAGAAAAAAATAAATATAAAAGACTTAAAAAATTGCATTCAAAGCATACTATATATATTGCATACTATGCCAACAATTATTAATGATCTTAATCTTTTGTCAGTTATCTCTGCACAGCAGTGCTTCATTTTGCTCAAAAATTTCAAAGTCAAGCTTAAGATTCAAGCCAAGCTTTAAAAGTGGGTATGGAATTAATTGTTAATAGGTTTTTGTTAAATAATATAGAGATAAATTTACACTTAGTAAAATTTAATGCATTTAAACTTATATTTATATTTTTGTTGTATTGGATTTTCTGAGCATACTATTAGTTTAAAATATGTTTCACAGGAAGAAAAAAAAAGATTAACAATCACGTAAATTTACCTTTCAATTATCAATTTTGTAAGAATAGCAGCTTAGTTTTATTCAGAAACTTATTAGACTTAAATTCTTATTTGTTTTTCAGTTATTTTTAAAAGTCATTGATTATGTTAATATTTTTCAGTATTTAATACAATAATTCATTATTTTTATTACTTTATATTGGAATATGTTTAAAACAATAATTATCTAAATTTTACTTTTTGGGGTTAAATAAATTAAGATTTTATATTAATTGTTTCTTTTATGCGATTTTTATTATACTGTGTCTTTAAATTTGTTAAGTTAAAACAAAGTTAAACACTTTAAAAGAGAATTTAAACTGATAAAAATATAAATAGCATTGCAGACTACTGTAGTTGTTAAAGAGTGATTTAAAATTTTTATTTAGCTTCAAGTAAAGTTAAAAATAACTTTAAATAAAGTTAAAAATCACTTTAAATAAAGCTAAAAATCACTTTAAATGAAGTTAAAAATCAGTTTAAAGTTAATAAGGAGATCAATCAAAAATGTATGACTAGAACCTGGAGTGACGAAATTATGCATGGCAATGACAATGACAGACAAAACAAATTACTGCTCATGTCTGGAAAGCATGAAATTTGTTCATATTTTTTAACCTTCATTAAAAAAGTACTTTAGTCTAAACAAAATAAAGAAAGTTTAAAATTTATACACAATTGTACATATTTTGCACACACAAATGGCACTAATTACGAAAATAATCAGATCTTTCAAACAGTTATGCAAATTACAATTTTTTGGCATAAATTATCACAAAATTAAAAGTTACAGAGAAAAATATGTTACTTAAGTCATTGTAATAAATAAAAGTTAAATATAACTTATAAAAATAAAACAACACTAAGCAACACTATTGTGTTACACTAAACCACAGTACTGAGTTCATTTTTTCGTTTTCTTCCTGCAAGTATCACTCTTGGCATATATATTAAATATTCAACAAACAAAAATGCATTTGCATGTAGGAGAACATATAATTACCTATTTTGTTCTATTAGAAGGCGTAAAGCATCTGGATTTGTTAACTGTGCATTTGAATCTATAGCAAAAAAGTAATCACAATTTGTTTTGGTGCATTCTTCCCTGAAAAATAAAAATTAAACAAATTTTAAAGACATAAAATATGTCAACTGAAAACTTAGAAATTAATATAAACAAGGTATGCAATAGGATATTAATAAGACAAGATCTAAAATTTGAGCAATTAACAGCTGAACATTAGGGATAAGTTTTCAAAAAAAGATTTCTACTAAGCTGTGTAATCAGCTTTTAACTGTGAAATAGATTCTGACACAGAGCTACAAATTTATGAAAGACTACACTATCTATAAACCATGACAATATTTTGTTTGAGCCGTGGTGGCTCAGGAGATACTGGTCGATTTGAATTCCGCACCCAGCTCATGCCGACCACAGTGGTAGACAGATTATAGGTTAGAGTTCCCTTATCATAAAGCTAACCCTGCAAGGTTTCCATGGTTTTCCTCTCCATGTAATGCAAAAGTGGGTTAGTTCCATCAAAAAGTCCTCCACGACAGCAAATTTCTCCCAATACTTGATCTAGGGGTTCCTTTGTCTTCTGACTTAGGTTTAAAAGTTCAAGGCTATGAAGTTAAACATTGATAGCCATTATCTCGAAATTGGGTCTGCTGTTCAACGATGATTATAAAATAAAATGCTTACTTGCCCGAATGAGGAAGAAAAGAAATTTTTCCTGAAACACTTTTAACAATTGTAATTTTAAAAATAATCGAGTAATTATAAAAATTCAACAACATATAAATAGACAGATTTGACATACAGAGAATAATATGTATATGTTTACAATATATTTTGATTTTAGTTATCTCGCACAGGTCGTCGTTCAACCAAAGCCGGGGAGCCACCCCCTCTGCAGAGGATCATAATTATGATGGCATGTCTTTAGATCATCCTCAGGGATGTTTCTTATGCCATCGCCCATTGTACAGCTCTAGTGTGAGGTAAATGAAGTACTATTACTACTAGTACTTGACCTTAATTATGTTTAGATAATTTCAAAACAAAAACATAGTGAATGAGAATGATATCTTAATTCAACATTTATAAATTCTAGGATATAATTACTGTATTTTTGAATAGATCATTTTTCCTTTTTAAAATTATAAAAAAGAGGTGAACCAATAATTGTGAAACTGCAAAATTCCACCTTTCAAAATTTGTAACTACATTGGCTGAAAATAATAAATAATCATCTGAATTCATGGCAAATTATACAACGTTTATCAAAAAAAAATTTTTTTTTAAAGATGACTGAATTCGCAAAATGCTTGTAAGAGTTAATCTTGCAAGTAAGGCCATATGTCTCAACTTTCTATGTAACAAGTGAATGGTCCATAAGTTTGAACTATCGAATTTTGCACTGTTAATTAAAATGAAGATATGTTAGGTCGAAAATTCGAATCATCCAATTCTTAGTCGCCAAATTGATTATTTCAATGTTCTCATTTACATTTGTAAATAAATGGTTCTGGACATACACAAAAATTCGGAATTTCAGGACAAAAAAAGATAAAGCATTTTTTATCAGAACAACCACGAACCTTGCCTGAATCGTTGCTATCTATATACATGCCTATTTTAAATGCTTCTCTTTTATTTTTATAATAAAAAATTGAGGTTTCTTTTTGTCAGTCAATGATTACTTACAATCCTAAGTTTCTGGCATGCCACTCTTTATAATCATTTTCCAGTTTTAAATAAGTAACCTTGTTGTACTTGTGCTGATGATTCACTAGGAAAGAATCAAGATCTTTTTTGTGATATTCAGTCTGAAAAAATCAAGATAAACAAAATCAATAATATTATAAGACGTCATTAATATACAAACTATGCTTAAAAACAATAATAGTATCAAAGCACTAATGACTACTGCAGTCAGGTTCTAAATGCATAAAATTAAAGTTATGCTTGAGGATCAATATAAATTACGTAAACTTTTATATATAAAAAAAACTGTAATCTGAATAAAGAAATATTTATTATAAAAATAAACAAAATCAGATTTCAAACTAGTATTAATAAATAAGTAAATAAATAAAATTTTCATTGTTAATAATTGTGTGTTTCAAATTAATTAGACGAAGCAACACAAAAAGTAAGTAAAAAATTGATCTAGATTTATTGCTTAACTTTTTAAAATTTGGTGTATCTCCTAAAAGGTAGAATAAATCGAAAAGGAAAATTTATAAGTAAAATCACAAATCCATGTGATCATATTTTTGACGACGATGACGATTAATTTGTTCCAGTAAAGTGCAAAAGACAACGCTTATTGAGCACTTCAGAGGATAGTGATAACAATGAAATAAAATTTTTTATTCTGTAATGTATTATTGCATTATTATAATATCATTCTACCTATTGTAAAATGTACTATTTACATTAAAAGGAGTTCTGTGATGTACTTGCTTCATTAAATCTGAGCGTGCGACTTCAACAATCAGTAACACACCAACAGATGTCCACACTGTTCGAAATGAACTGGGTTTTCTCGACATAACATTTTAACAGCACGATCGCGCCGCTTGGGACTCAAAAGGTTAACATGAGAAAACTAAAAGTTTCGCACTCCAATCACAATTTTAAAGAAATATTAGTCATCAAAAATCTAGCAAAATAAGTGTTGCTTCAAAAATAAAGAAATTTACAGCATTAAAAAAAATTAATATACTTACACCACAATGGATAAAGAGATCCATTCTTTCTTTTGGATAATCGAGCAACAGAATCCTTTCTAAGAATTCTTTGAAGAATGGTGTTGGGTGTTCCACAAATATTCCAACGATAACATGAGGTTTTGCTTTCACCTTTAACAAAGAAGATTTTGTCTCATTTTATGAACAAAAATTACAAAATGTAAATTTACATTGACTCATAAATAAGATCTGTTAGCCTAGTTTCTGCTAGATTACACAAATTAAAAACACTAGCAATAAAAATATTTTAACAAGATATCAAATTATTAGTAGAGGCAGTTATTATTAGTAATTATTATCTGTTTCAATTTATGTTTAACTATTTTAAACTCATTTAATTTAAAATAAATAAAATATCTGTTCGCTCAAAAGATTATGAATTTCTTAGACAAGTTCATTACTTACCAACCACAAGGAAAAAACCTGGAAACACTAGAGTTCTTATCGAATTATTTACTTTTGAATAGCATGATAGGAACTTTATAAAAGTTTCTCCCTTAAAAAAATAATAATAATAAACAAATAAATAAAACTTCTTCCTAAACATCTTGGAGTGCTCATTTTAAGAAGCAACTGCAAGATTGGCCTTAACTTAACCCTTTGACGCAGATGCGTCACCGAATTATAAAAACGACTTTTGCTCCTTAATTATAAAAACGACGCCCAGTGCAGGGTAGTAACGCTTTGTACTCTCATGGCACACGTTCTGGGTTCCATTCTCATGCCGGGAGAGGTTGACTCAGCCTTTCATCCCTTCAGGGGGTCGATAAAATGAGTACCAAGCATACTTGAGGACTAAACACCGGGGGTTCTGAGATAGGCTGAACGCCCAACCTGAACATCTGCTCTTGCATACCAGAGCCCAAGGTCAAGAAAACTGAGGGGCACAGTAGGCCTTGGCCCTCTTTGGGTTGTCGCATCACCAAGTTTAGTTTTAATTATAAAAGGCAGTCCAATAGTTACCAAAAAAAATCCGTTACATTATCAAGATTATAATTGTACTAAAATATAAAATCCAAAAAAGAGTACTTTGAATCTTTTTTTCTCATTAACAATTACAAAAATTTATCAGTTCTTGAACTTGTAAAATAAAGAAATTTCGATTATGAATAACTGTTTCTCTTAGATCTAAATAACTGCAAATAAGTGTTAATTTCAAAAATTATTGTTTGGAAGTGACTTTTACTTTTAAAGCAGAAAATGACACCAATGTTTTATGCTGTTTTTTATACCAATAAATTACTAAAACACTAAAAATAATATTTTTTACTTATTTTTACCTTAATATAAAATAATAAAAAAAGTATGAAAAATATGTGTATTAAAATTCTGTGGCAAAGGGTTAATTCCTATTGGCATTTAAATAAAAGGAAATTTCTTACACTTATTTAACAAATCCCTTGCTTAGCAATCACAGGAAAAAGTTTGGTAACAACAAAGAAATAAAAACATAGAATATTATCAAAAACTTTTCATCTATTTAGAAATGGGAAGAACGTGATAAAAGTGTTTACTTGATTACAAGATTCTTTGACAAAAATTCTCCTAAACACCATGAAAAGTACCTGTAAGACATAACTGCAAGATTTGCCATCACTTTAACACTTTGTTCTGGCATTAATATTTGAGAATTCTAGGATATTTCTGAGGCTGTTTCTTTTGTTATTTTAAAAAGTAAGAAATATTTGAGTTTGGCCAACAGCATTTATAACTGATAACTACTAAAGCATAAGAGTAATTTAATAACTCATGCATAGATTTAAACTATTTATAGTTGTAGTGCATCTACCGCTACAAAAATACAATTCCAATTCACTAGACATATTAACTTGATTCTATGTTGGGGTACCTTTTGATAGATGAAGGTTTACAGGTCGATGTGACTCTCACCATATTGGTGACATTCATGTGTGATGTGAACTTGCCTACCTTGACAGAAACGCCCACTTCGATTTGAACACGCCTAATTCAATGGATAGTCCCGTTGAACAGCTGACTTGCTACTTGTGACTGCGACATTATCCACCTCTTCACGATGCTGCTACTCAGTTTCGATCACACACAACGTCGGCTTGTATACACTCGACTGCTAATACCAACACAGGAGAGGCTCTGTCGTGAACTTAATACAGCTCTCACGATCAGCATTTAAAAGTATGGTGATCTTAAAACAGCTCTCCCAGCTTCTCACAAAAAACAACAATGAATCAACTAGTGGTATTTGCTCATCAAATTCTATCACTTATATAATTCTGGTGGGAGAGTACTGTAGTGTATCTACCACTACAAAATTACAATTCCCTAGTATACAAGACATATAAACTCGATTCTATGTTGGGGTACCTTTTCATAGATGAAGGTTGAAATGGTCGATGAGACTATCTCCACAATAGTGAATTTTAAAAGATTTAACTCTTTCCTTTTTGTTGTATCATCATTATTACTATTATTAAGATACTTAGAAAATTAAAAAACATAAAACTAATTATTACTTTAAAAGTTTCTAGTTTGATTGTGTCTTCAAAACAACTAATGCATCCTTTCTTGGGCACCCACGATTTAGCTAAGTAATTGCCGAGAGAATTCAAAGCAACCTGCAATAAAAGCAAATATTAATTGTAAAATTGTTTAAATGGTTGAGCTTTGCCATCCATAAGCTTTTACACTTACTTTACTAGCACCATTACCATGAACAACTAAAGGATTGGTGGCATATGCTGTGTTGTGCAAATAGCTGTCAGTGTCTGAGAATCTTAGCTCAACATCTCCTACAAAAACAAAATGACTTCATAACAAAGCATTGAGTATGTTATTTGGGGGGGGGGGAAGATACAAAATAATACTTACCAACAGCTCCATTTAAATTTTGGAAGATTTCAGCTTTATGATCTAACTTAATCGACCACTTTTTCTGAAATGTTAAAACAAATTTCAGAATATTATTTTAAAATGGAGTATTTAAAAAAATATTTTAATAAATGTACTCTAAGGAATTGCTATTTGAACATAATTTGAAACACGGGATGATTAAAAAAATAGAAACAGTCAATATAATCAAATAAAATAATTATTTGCTCTACTAAATAAAGCAAAATTCAATGCCAAAATAAAAAGAAAACATACCATTTTTAAAATTATTTTATTAGAACAGAAAGTTTTAGCAATTCCTAGAAAAAATTTTATTAATGGAGCCCTAAATAACTCAACTTAGATTGGAATAAATATGCAGAAAATCTTTGTAGTACTATTCATTAAAAAAATAATAATCAGTATACATTAATAAATAATCCTTCATTCCAATAGTTAATTAAAATTTGTAATCAAGTTCAAGACTTCTTTAAACAAATAATTTCAATCTGGATTTAATTAATATTAAAAAGAATATGCTGCGTAACATTTTGTTCAAAAGTGTTTTAGTGGATGATCCCTCACTTATAATATTACCGTGTTGATTGTGATCGATCTTTTTATGAAATTGGATGAAAAAGACAAATCAATAATTATGAAATTACAACACTCCACCCTAATAGATTTTTTACTCCATTTGCAGAAATTAATAAATCAGTGCCACCCGGCATTCATCATAAAAATTTGATAAGGTAAAATTATTAATTGAGATTCTTTCTCACAAAGGATTCAAGTATTAAAAAGTTTGAAACAATGAATCTTGCAGGTAAGGCTAATATACTTAAACCATGAACATAATTAGTGGACAGTCTCTAAGTTTGAACTATGGAATTTTATGATTTTTACTAGCATTATTAATTAAAACATTTCCGGATTTACATCTTTTGATTCATCAAATTGATTATTTTTAAGTCCATTACTGTTTGCATAAACAAGTCAGGCTTATCAGGAGAAACACATGACAACCAGGACCTATATTGACAAAATGTTTTTGCTAACAGAAAAATCAAGAAAACCCCGGGCAACTACAAATTCCGTCGGCTGTTCAAGGACGGTTATAAAAATCTCTGCAATATACCTAGCTCACACCGACCACAGTGCTGACGTAAAATATCCTCAGTGGTAGACGGTTCATGGATTAGAGCCCCCTTGCTGTCAAGCTAACCATGAGAGGTTTTCGTGGTTTTTCTCTCCATGTAACACAAATGTGGGTTAGTTCCATAAAAAAGTCCTCAATGAAGGCAAATTTCTCCCAATACTTGATCCAAGTGCTCCCTTGTCTTCTGGATTGGGTTCAAAACTATAAGCCTACGGAGTTGAACATTAGTAGTCGTAAACCCGGAATTGGGTCGGCTGTTCAACGACGGTTATAAAATTAAAATAAAACTCCTGCAATAATTTTAAATTTTTTTTCAAATCAGAAATTATTTTGTGCTTCTGTTATGAAGAATATAGCTAATCGACACATAAAGTAACAAAATATATTATTTTGGCTACTCAGATTTAATTTGTTTACATTAAAACTTGAAAAACTATCCATAATAAATTACCCTTAGGTCATCAGCTAAATAGATTTTAGTGTAAAACAGCTGATCATCCTCCTCATCCTTTAGAGAAGAACTTGTAATTATTTCATTAACATATGAAGCATAGCCCAGAAAACCTAAGTAAATGACAATTTTTAAATTAAATTTTACACTATAAAAGTCAAACTTATCATTCAAGCAAATAAGTAAGTGATTATTGGAAAATAATAGGTATAATCAAGATATTATAAAATATAATGGCAAATGAAAATAAAGCAAAACATAAAATTAAGCTTTTAAAGAAATAAAAAAAAGGTAGAAGGTTTTCCTCTGCTGAAATATTAGTTTTGAAAAAAATTAAGATTCAATATAAAATTGTATAAACTTGTGTGCTTGTCAAAAAATAACAACTTTCAGTTTCAATAAATATCATTTTTAGTTCAGAAATTACTTTAATTTATTTCAAATAACTAACTTAGCTAATAATAACTTAGCTAAAAATTAAATATCATTTTCTGAATTTAAATTAAATTCATTAAAGATCACATTTGTTAAATTGTAGGGGAAGAAAACATTGATAAGCAAACCATTATCTTAAAGTAATAAGAATGTGATTTAGTGATGATTACAAATTATCGGAATCAAACTATTCAACTCCACTGTTTACTTTATATTAAGGAATTTCATTATATTGAAAAATTAAGAAAATTTGCTGTCAATATTTTGGAAAAATAATTATTTAAGTTTTAAAAAACTACTTTTATACATATATATATATATACACAAAGTTTTGACAACTATTATCTGCCGAAGCAGTTAAATGTTTGACTTAAGGTAGAACATCAGCAATTTTAAAATTACTTTCTTAAAAACTAAGGGTTTAATTACAATTATCTTTGCATAAACAAATAGGCCTAATTTTGCCAGTAAAAAAATGGAGGATTTCTCCTCAATAATTACCCTATAGGCAAAAATTCAATTATATTTAAGAAAGTTGTTATTTAAAAAGGAACCAAGCATTAAAATTTTTCTGCTCACCATCATATATCCTACCGTCCAATTAATCTGATAAAAATATTTTCGATTAGATCAAAAAAATTTTTTAAAGAATCAAGTGATCAAGTATCAATGGCATGAATTAAATTGAATAATTTAAACTATGCCAGCCTTGTCTAAAAATATACTTTTTGATAAGAAAATAATTTCTTGATTAAGGAAAATTATTTTAATCCCATTGAAGTTAATCGCTTCAAAAAAGAAATGTTTAATAATTATTATGATTACAGTTTAAAGTTACAACTTAATAATAAAGATAAAAACTGTTTTTTAGTTAATTTTTGAGAAAATGATTCACTTTCAACATTATCTACTACAAACAGAAACTTAATGATAAAAATAAACTAAAATGTAAAAGAAATGATTAATTTCATTTAATTTGAATCAATTCAAAGACAAAAAACTTTTGAAAACAGAATGATCCAAAAAGAACTGGAAGTTTTTGAAGCTTGTATTGGAATTATAAAATCCCAATATATTGTCGAGAAATATCAATATTTCACGATATATTACAACATTTTCCTTACTTAACTAATTTATATTATTTTACCTTAAATTAATATTTTCATCACTCATACAAAAAAAAATATCAGCATTCACAATAATATTGCATTTGATAATTGCCAAATTATCATATTCTATGTATATTATTAGAGATTAAAGATCGTGATATTTATTGTTAAAGATAATATTGTTATCTATTTGAAAATTATTGTCAAAGATAATAATCAAGAGATTATCATATTTCATACTCATTTCTAGACATGATATTATTAACATTCATCTTATAAGGTATTCAACATATATTGTGAGAATACTTTCCAAAATATTGCTGTCATGATATTCAAATAATATCAATATTTCTGATTATGTGCTGCTATGCTCTACTACTATACTTAAATTCACCAAATATCACAAACCTTTATTAACTTGAAACTGTGAAAACAGATTTCTTTAATAAAAAAAAATGTAATTCTTTTTTCTTTTCAGAAAAAAGCATAATACAACAAAATTTGTTTTAAAGACGCTTGTCTACTGTCTGGCAATTTCAAGATGGGGCACTCACACGAAACTTGTTGGTGGCAATCAAACTACACTGTCTATTGTAAGTGATTCATCTACTTATTTTTAAGTGAAAATAGTGTTTTGATTGGTGGTCACATTAAATTAAAATTTATTTTTAGTTTCTGCTTAGAAGCTAGTTTTAGCTATAATATATCCATCACCTGAAAACTACACTGCAATGTAAGCCAGACTCTGAACATAACTGAAAGCTCATATTGTGTGATTGCTAGGCAATAAAAAATGTGAATTTATTTTTAAAAAAATTTTAATCTTTCTCAAATTTTGTATTTGCAGATTTTCACAAAAAAAAGGCATTTTTATCCTCTAAATGGTTTTGCATGTTTGGCAATAAAATTCCGTTCATTAGTTTTTCAACAACCAAGGGCCTTCTGTTATTTTTGGATCAGACTATGCATAAAATAAAATATCTATCTTACATTTTACTAATTAAATTGGTTTTTTCTTAAATATTAAAAACAATATTTCATTATTGCTAGAAAAACAATTGAAGTTTAATGTAAACATAGCATAAAAGAAAATGCATGATTATTTCATTTGAAAACTGAATAAATTAAATGAACAGAATAAACTGTGTTGCAGCATGCAAGGGTGGATATAATAAAAACCATTTTGGCACAAGCATCACTCTTACCTGTATAAGAGAAGTCAGGACACGCTGCCGGTCACCAAACAAAGTGGTTGTGGTATAAAGAAAGAAAAAAGGAAAGCACAAATACCAAATTTAGGGATTTATATTAAATACAAATATAAAAAAGCACTTTTGTTAATGAAACGAAAATGTTAAAAAAAGGAATCTGGTAATTCATGCAAAAACAATATAAAAATTAGTAAAGCAAAGCAAAATGTGTTGTGAGGTGCAGCGGACATATTACTGCAATTGTAAAATTGGTACGGTTATTTTAAGTGAAAAGAGCGCCATATATAATAAGGGTGCACAATCTAAGACCGTGGAGCCAAATTCAGTCGTAAAATGGTCAACGAGTATGGCCCTCTACCTTACAAACAATAATTAGTTGGTAAAACCAACATAGTTGGTGTAAGAAATTTTATGACTTCTTTACAAATTCATTCTAATTAACTTGAAAATTCCTCAAAATTGTGTAGCATGAAATTTCTGAAATGTATTGGTATAAATTTAAAGTGTCCAAAAAATGTAAATCCTTGGGCATTTTTCTTTAACCAAAAACATGTTCTGAATAAATGCAGTTCAAAGATTTATTCAAATATTAAAAAAGCTAGAAAATTAGTTTTTCCACTAATAGATTTAAAAATTTTCAGCAATTAAATTTTCTTAATAAATTCCTAAAGTGTACAATATATTCATAAAGTGAAATAAATTTCTTAAAGTGCACGAAATTTTATTTTTTTTAATTCAAAAGTGCTATTTATACATTTCATAGTTTAGTATGTGAGATTTGCAGTACTTAGTATTTCAATGTAAACTGATATTGCTCTTATTACACAATGCATAAGCAAGTTAAAATCATTTGCCATTAACGCTAAATTCATTGTGACCCCCAAGAGCGAAAAAAATATTCTTCCGGCCTGCTTGCGAAAAAGCTTGTGTACCCCTATTATATAAACTAACTCAGATCTTAAATACATATACATAAATTAAGGACATAAAAATCTTACTGAATCTCGATACATTTAAATTTATTAACACTCTGCCATTTCAAATATCTTAAAAAATAAAACAATACTTCATTATTTATTTCTAAATATTAATAAGAAATTAATGTAAAATCAACAAAAATTTCAAAACTAATCTGATTATTCTTAAGCTCCAAATAAAATGGGAATTCGCAAAAAATGATTTATATTTTTCACAATCCTTTTTATTCAATAGTCATTTAGGTCTAATGCTTATTATCAAATAAATTAAAATTTTAATTTTGAAAAATGTTATGCGTAAATTTAAAATAACTAAATTAATGCATATAAAATCTAATTTATATTCTTTCTTGCATTTGTGATAGCATAATTTACAGCAATTCATAAATTTAAATTCGTCTGGCTAAATCAAGACAGTCAGGCAAAGATTATTATTGTAAAAATTCAGCTAAATTAAATCTATAAAAACTAGAAAAAAAGTAGCAAATACAGCAGTTTCCCTACTTTCGATTATAAATCTTCCGATTATAAATCTTATAATACAAAGTCATTTTATATTTGATTCTACTTGAACAAAATTTTATCAAAAGCAAATAATAACATAATGGTTTTACCTAATAAAGATATATAAGAATATAATAAATTTATTATATTTACATAAAAAATATTAATAAGCTGCCCAAAGCATTAGCATTCACTTCCAAAAAATTCACAGACAACTCAACTTTTATAACTCAGGCTTCTTAGTGAGCAAAAGAAAAAATAAAGACAACATTTTTCAAAAACATCTGGACATTTTTAGAATAGTGTACATATACCCTATAGTAGCTATAAAAATGCAAGCAGTTAAACTAAAAAGTATAATTGGCTCTACTTTAGAGTAATAAGAGCAAATTTTACTGCAAAAGAATAACAAAATGTTGTATTTTTAATTTCCTAATTGCTTTGCTTAAAACTGAAAGTTTTAACAGTTTCCAGAATAGTTTTATCAATGCTGAAAAGCTCATAATAGTTTCAAATCAATAAATCAAAAAATTTCATAGCAATGTTCCATTAAAAATAGTCAGAATAAATTTGTCAATATTCCTTCACACAAACATACAATTAAAATATGTAATCAAGTTCAAAATTTCCTTAATCAAATAAATTTTAAAGTAGAGATTGGCAATAATCGTGAAACGATAACAGAATGAATATACCACTTAACATATTTTGCACAAAAGTAATTTTAGTAGTCAATCTCTCAATTCATCATTCAAAAAATCTATAATATTACTGTATTGTTGATTAGAATCTATCATTTTTAAAACTACAAGAAAGAGACAGATCAATAAGAGAGAAACTACAAAACTCAATCTTTCAAAAAATTTGTTACTGCATTTGCGGAAAACCATAAGTAAGCATATCAACCTTGAAATCATCATCACAAAAACTTGATAATGTAAAATTGTTAAGTTAAAAAATGCTATTGAACTATTGAAACAGACTGTAGTAATATTATTTAAAAATAAAAACATATTTGATAAAAAAAAAAACCTACATCTTTACATTTGTCAAATCTAATTTTTAAAAATCTGCCTTTAGTATTCCTAAAAATTTTCTGAACACACACAAAAATCAGGAATATCAAGAAAAAAAAGCTAAAAATCAGGATAAAATACTTTTTATCAGGAAAATCAGGATTATCAATACAACAACAATCCCTGCCTAACTGAAAACTACCAACTAAATTTACTAATATACAAGAATGAGAAACTAATTCGAGACATTTGATAAGAAAGATATCAGAGTACTTGTGTGTATTCTAAAAAAAAAATGCATTCAAACTGGACCAAAATGTTCAAACTCAATGCTGTTCATAAAAAGTTAAAGAAGCTCATCCAATAATACACATTGACATACTAAAAAAGGATCAAACTTAAAAGTTAAAATAAAACTGGTGCTAGACAGTTGAGTTGCTCTTTTGTAAATACCTCCAGTGAAGCTTTTAAAAATGCTCTAAGGGAAGTAGTTAAAAAATTTAGATGATGGAGAAAACTACCACAAAACTTTCAGTTTTATCGATCAACAATATGTATAATTTGCCATACATTGCAACATATTTTTAATAGCATTTTCAGAAGCAAAGAACTGGGTTTTTTATACTTACATTTTCGTGAATACATTTTAAGACTAAAATAGATCTTAATACAATGAAAATAATTTAATATTAAAATTTCATGAAATAAATAAGATATTATTTAAATCTTGAATTACAAATTATTTTTATAAGAATTTTTAAGTTTAGATAAAGAATTCAAACTACAATAACATCATTAATATGAAATATGCAAATATTTTATAAAAATGTAGGAGAATTCACTATGTGCACAGTGTCAATACAAATTTGAAACAAAAATAACTAAAAAAAAAAAACTTCTCCAATAGTATGAAATGTTTTAAAATGAATGAGATAAGCATGCACTTTCTTTTAAGGTATGAAAAATTTAAATATTTTTCATTAAACTAACCAATAATGTTTTTTTTAAACAATTCGTTTTACCTGTCTAATGTTCTAATAGCAGACAAAAATTATAAAAAATTTCTACAACATTCAACAGTTTCCTATAAAATTACACAAGAGAAAATATTTGCTTGGAAACAAGACGAAAGACACAAGTCTATGCCATCAGAGGATAAGCAAAAAAAAATATTGATGCATACAAATATATCAATAAAACAAAAATTAAGTAATAATTTATGAACTAATCTTACCTCCTGAATTTAAAAATCTTTTTCCTTTTTCAACTTTTGGGTACTTTTCCTGAAACAGTAAGAATTTAATTAATAGCTCATCAAAAAGAAATAATAAGTCATTCAAATATTTAGAAATAATTCCAAAGTTGCTTAAGCCTTTCTGAACAGTCGTGAATAATATAAAAATTTTAATATTGTCATACCTCATATTGTCAAGTTATACCGATATTTCATTACATTTCTCAATATTTTTTACAATTAAAATAATTCACATACTTCCATTACATCAATACTTGCTATATTATCTATATAGTAATTATCAATAACAATAATGCTTTCCACATTATTATATTTGCCATTTTTCATAGTTAAGAATGATTATGATATTTCCGTATCATCATTTAATATTTCCAATTTAAATAATTCACATACTTCCATTACATCAACACTTGTGATATTATCTATTTGGTAATTATCAATAACAATAATGCTTTCCATATTACAGAGATTAGTTACAGAGACTTTTCAGTTACAGAGATAAAACTACAAACTTATCAAAAAATAAATTAGCGAACAAAGATTTTTTAAGTCCTTTCTTAGGAAAATCTAAATTGCCAGCGTCGAACCTTAATATTCATCAAATGATATTTAAACTTTATATCATAATTTTTTATATATAAAAGAAAATAATGATTGTAAAATAAGAACCAAAAAAATGGAATTCATAGGTTTGAAGAAAAGTCTCAAGCTTGTGTCATCATTCAACGTTTAATGCTATTCCATTGAAGGCGAGAAAAAAGTTAAGAATAGTAAGAAACAGACAGGTTTAATAGGACAGGACAAAACATCTGGCTTAAACATTCAGTGTATCAAAATGAAGATTTTTAAAATTATAAAAGCAATGAAACTAAAAGTCGTACGTAATTTAAACTTCAGAAAATCAATTTTTTTTTTAAAAAAAATATATGAAAATGAATCTAAAAAGTGGTAAAAATTCAAATTGTAGGTAAATAAATTTTTAAAAGGTGTACTTAATAAATTAAATCATTTATCTGATATTTCACATTATAAATGTACTAACAGCAAGTGAAGCATCTGGCCAGCAGAATCCTTCAGCAGAAAACAGGACTTTTGCTTTAGATTTATTAAATTTCTTTATGATTTCATCAGGACCGGCCATAAAAATAACGTCATAGCTGAAAGAAGAAAAAAAAAGTATAATGATTCAAAGTAAAACTTTGCATTATATTTCACGGAGTATTTAAAAATTTTTGCATAACGATCCCAATTCTATAATTGGCTTTCAGCTTTACTTGAAATTAATTTTTAGAGTCACTGGACATACAACAATTTAATAATCATTATTTTGATTAGCTGACTTAAATACAAAAATTTTTAAGTCATGGTGCAAACCAGAAATTAAGTAAAATTACAAGAATTCATTTACTTAATAAAACATTAGTGCCACATTTGCAGAAGAATATTCGGATTATACTTCATTCAACATAAAACAAATTTTTTTAAATTTTATTTGAGTTGACGCTCTGTAGATTTTGAACATATTGACAGAGAACCAATGTTTTAATTAATAAAATTCCTTTTTTTTTTCACTATATCTATCCCCTATTAAAATGATTTTAAAACTTTCTAATTTCTCAATGCAAATCACACGAAATTCTCCATGCAAATCACTACAATAAGATTCGAAGACTTTTGGCAATATTTTTGTCTTTGACATATTGATAAATATATGATTTAAAAAAGTACAAAATACATTACATACCACTAATTATATATTTTTTTTCTCAAACAAAATATGTTAATCCCCAAAAATATTTTGAATAAAAAAAAATAATTAATCATTTTAATTATCAAAAGAAATCTTTAATTCTCATAATTAAAAGATCCTTTAACAACAAATAATTAAATCTAGTACTATTTCAATGAAAGAGGTTTGTTATTATTTATTATCAGAAGTTTAGTTATTATTTCCACTTTTATTCATGTTCCTTTAACCCTATCTTTTAACAAAGCATTAATCCTTACAAATTTATGCAAAATTAAACACTGCAATGAATCCTTACAAATTTGCTGTTAGCGATCATTATTATTGATGACTAACTTTCCTTGAGTAAAAATTTGTAGCTATTAAATTGAGGTTAAATGAAAATCATCAACTATGTCAATTTCTTTTTTTTTTAGTTTTTAATCTATAAGCTAATTTTTAAGAAAATTTCATACACTTAAACACACATTGGAAACAATTTTCAGTCAAAATAAAATTTTTGTTTACCTATCAACAAACATAATGATTAAGTTCTTATCGTCATAATATTTATCCATAGCAGCTTTTAATAAATTTACTTTATGTCCACCCCCAGAATATAGTCGGATATTTCCGCCTTTCCATTCTTCATCCATTCCAAGAACCTTTAAGAAAGTAAATAATAATTATAAAATTTTTATATTGAAATATTTTTAAGCATCTATTCATTAAATCAAATCGGAAGTGTAAACAAGTATAACTCTGTTCAGAATTATAAATTCACACTGACTCTTAAAAAATCTCAAATAATTCATATCAGAAGGTACCATTAAAAACATGGATGGCATGTGATATCACTGAACTATATATTTATATAATATATAGTTAATATGAACTATAGTATATAAATATATAGTTTATATGAACTATGTATTTATATAATATATATATATATATATATTTATCTAACTATATATGAACTATATATTACTGAACTATATAATTCTAAAGCTATTAGAAATCATGTGTTTATTCCATTTAAACTTACCCTCTTCAAAGGCATTACTATAAAATTAAATAATATAAAATAAATGACAATTGAACCTGAAAAAATTATGAACTAAAAAGCAAAATTAATGAAGGAAAGGTAATTATTCATTTCGAGAAAGAATGATTATATTACTGACATCCGTGACCCTAAATTGGTAATCAGCATTACTTATATTGTGGTAATAGTTCTTTTTTAATCGATATCAAATATAAAAATACAGATACTATGTCAATAGGTTTTAGTTAAGGCCCCAAGTCAAGATATACAATACAAAGCACAATCAAATTATTTATCCTACAGCACAAGATAAATAATTTGATTGAGATAAAAGTAAACTATCATGAATTGGCTGTGAGCAATAACCTAATGCATGGAGAATTTCATATTATCTAAATAAGGTTAAATTTTTAGTTCAGGTTTAGGCACAAAGAATATTTACCTAAAAAGGTTATAATAAGGTAATATGCTCATAGAAAATTTTTAGAGAAAACAGTAAATGATATAAAATAATGAAACAAAATGAGAATTAGTACAGTCAATAGATAAAATTATAGTTCTACAGTTTTTTAACAAAAAAAAAAAAAAAAATTTTTAGTTTACAAGNTTAAAAAAAAAAAAAAAAGAGTAGAAAAATTTTGATACAGGGATGATACAGCTTTAAATAGCCAAACATTCTCCACTTTTATAGGTGCAGTAAATCAGCTTTCATACATTAATGCATTTAAAAAATTTTATTTGTTTAACAGGACAAAAAGATAAAAAGGAAAAACTTTTATTAGATTATAATCAGTAAGAGTAACCTAAAAGAACAATGGGGTAACTAACAAATATATCCATTAGAGATTTTAATCTACATATTATGGGAATATTTCCAAACCTGTTCGTGCCATCAAAAGATCACCAAAATATTCTTGTATGTGTTTTTTATTTCATTTTTTTTTACATTAATGTATATATATATATTAAAATAAAATTCTAAAGAGGTTTGCCCATAAGTGATTATGAGTTGCTCTGATTTTTTTTTTTTTTTTTTATTGGTCATTGCTCGATTGTTGCTAAAACTTGATTATTATTTTAGCACAAGAACCGATAGGGAAAACTATCCCCTCTCACATATTACAATATCTGTTGTTATGTGTGATTTAATTTATTCTGTATGGTAGAGTTAATTAGAGTCATACACAATTAGTAACTCTCAATTCCAATTTTGCTTAACTTTTCTCGCTACTCTCATTTCTTTACTATAATACAAACCTGCAATAGTGAGTATTATTCAAAAAGCATCAATATGATGAAATTAATTACCAGTTCAAAATATTAAAGAGCCATTTTAATATTTAAAAACAAAAAATACATGTCTGCCAAAGGAATAATGTAATAAAAAGATAAAGTCCAAAACATCTGTTTATTTTACCATAAAATAAACAGATAATTATAAAATACAGTACCTCAACATTGATTCCATACGTTTTTGCAGATCTCATAAATCTTTTAAAACCATCTGTGTCTTCAGTAGCCACTGTCAATACTAATAGTTTTTCTAAAATTAAACATTCTAAAATTAAACAAAGATATAAGAAGACAACATATTCAAAGTTGGAGAAATAAAAACTGAAACTTTAATTTAACAAAACAAATTATAAAACTTATCTCTTTTTATTTAAATTTAAAAAAATAAGGTACCTATCTCTACAAAGTATATATTTTACAACATCCACAATTATGTAAAATTTATACCAAAAAAAAAAAAACAATTATGTAATAAAAATAATCTATCTTAGTTGTAGGAAAATGACATAAATTCTTTTCCTTTAAGTCTTTTTTCTGGTTTGTTTTAATCAAAGTTGGGGAAAAAAACTTAATTATTATAAACTTATATTTAAAAACTTATAAACTATATTTATTTATTTATTTAAGACAAAAGGGTGAATTAATATTTTATGTCTCAAATTAAAATTAAAATCTATTCATGAGTATAGAACATAAAAAACTTTCTTTTACTATTAATTAAAGTTTTTAATAAACAATTTAAAAATATCCACTTTTGTTCCATAAATATGCTAACAAGATTAAAAAGAATAATTATCATTCAACATCCAAATGATATTTTAGTAATGCATGGCTCCACTTGCTTAGAAAATTCCATTTATATTTATTTAAATTTTTTATTTATTCAAATAAAAAATCTTAAAAACATTCTGAAATTACTGACTTTTCATTGGCAACTATTTCACCTGCCCCTACAAAATAAATTAATACCTTTTTTTAATATTGAGTCAATCCAAATTTTAATATGAAATATTTAATGCAATATACTTCATCAGTCAAAAAATATTTGAAAATAATAGTACAATGGAAAGGAATTAAGATAACAAATAGGTTTGCATACCTAGTAGAAAAATTGTGTTTTAACTCTAAGGGTTTAATATTAACTAAAAATTAATTACTTTTTTACTTACTTTAACATAATGAAGCTTTAAATTTAGCAATATGCTAATTAATAATAATGCAGCATTAAATAAAATAATATAATGTACAATGAAAATATTTTAAATGAATTTTGACTAGTTTTAATTTTTTATAATAAAAAGTGCACTTAGAAAATATTACAATAATGAAATAATTACAATAATAAAATTCTAAAAAATGAAGACTGAATACACATGTTAACTTCATGGGAAATTTAGAAATACTAGAATTTCAGAGAAAAAGTATAAAAATATTAGGCATGTAATTCACATGAGATGCAATCAAGGCCATACTCAAGGAGAAAAAAGAGAGGGATAGTTCTTGGGGCCCAGAACTGAGGGTGAGATGAAAATTCCTTAAAAAAATATAGTGCCTATAAATTAGTTTTTATCATTATATAAAAATATTATGTATTTTACTACATAAAAAATTATAATTTTGTATAAAAGGTCTTCAAAAATTCTACAAAAAATGAAATGAAGGCTTTTTGTACTTTGAGAAAAGGGCCTACAATAAATTTTGTCTCGTAAAATCTTTATTCAGCTTTGAATTAAGTAACTTCTTCCTCTGCTGCACTGCAGCTGTTGTAGGTCCCGCATTAACACACATCAAGGGGGGTACCAGTCCAGTCTTACCCAGAAAGTATAGGTTATCGAAACAAAAACAGAACATTGCAGTGTCACTGTTAGACTAAATATTTTTTGTTTCTTAGTGTATGAATCTTTATTAAATATATAATAAGCTGGACTAAAAATAATTAACTGTAGAGACCAATAAGTAAGGATAGCTACTAAACCAGAAAACATAGAGTTGACATAAGAAAACAAACTCATCTATACAGACACCATGAATTAATCAACATGGCAAAATGATGGGTCCTACTTTTTTGCACGTAAAGTGTAATTCAGAGCTTGTCCGCTAGAAAACAGAACTAATTTCCACACAATCGAGGTACTCCGTTTTATCCCAATCTCCCCTAAGATCTCATTTATCCTTTTGATCTTCGCAAGCATCACGTATCTTTAACAAGATAAATAAAAAAAATTCAAAAATTTTTATTACTTTAAATTATTTAATTGTTACACTATTTAACTAATTTTAAAAACTATCACAATCGAGGTACTCTGTTTTATCCCAATCTCCCCTAAGATCTCATTTATCCTTTTGATCTTCGCAAGCATCACGTATCTTTAACAAGATAAATAAAAAAAATTCAAAAATTTTTATTACTTTAAATTATTTAATTGTTACACTATTTAACAAATTTTAAAAACTATCAGAAGATGGATTTGGCGGGTGACGTTATTTAAAAAAATAATAATTTGGTTTAAAGTTTAAACTATCCAACCCTGATTTAAATGCAGTTTTGTTAAGTTTTGATGTGTTTAAAAATTACTTTCTGAGTCTTAAAAATGCATACAAAATGTAATATTAATCATATCATCATAGTTGGCCAGACAGGCCAATGTGGGCTAATGCCTTCCTCTGAAGATTTCTGCATAACAACTTCCAATTTATCTTTGATCTCCAACTCTTTTCAGTAATTGCAAGAGAATCAAACTTCACCGAATCAGCCCATCTCAACTGCAGCTTTCTCCGCTTTCTTTTAAAAGTGGGTCTAAAAAGCAGTATGTATCTTTTTTATTTTATTGTCATCACTCATCCGAATCGCATGGGCCATCCAATTTATTCTATTTATTTTTATGTATTTAATAATATCAGGTTGCTTACAGATCTTGTACAGTTCAAAATTGAATTTCCTTCTCCAGTTATTGTTTTCATTTACACCACCAAGTATACTCCGCAAAATCTTTCTCTCAAATATTGCGATACAATTTTCCTCCAGTTTTGTAATTGTCCAAGCTTCAGAAGCATATGCCAAGACCGGAATGACAAGTGTTTTGCAAATTGTTTCTCTATAAAGAAACCTAGTTTTAATAAATCTTCTCAGCCCATAGACAGCCACATTTCTCAGATAGACAGATTTTTAAAGCTGAGAACTTGGTTGGAAATTAGATAAATTATAAGGTTGCAAATTTCTATGAAAAAACGTTCCAAAAAATAAATTTAAAAATTATAGTTATATTTATTAATAGTTATAGTTATTTACTATACCATTATTATAGATTAGAGAAATAATAAATACAGAAACTATATTTAAATATATTGTCCATTTATTATACATTTACTGTATAATAAATGAACATATATAATGAAGAGCAAATACATAGATGTTCATGAAAACCACATACTAATTGGGGGAAATAGAATACACAAATACAAAAAGTCTCATATTATTAAACTGACCGGGTGTTTATTAATTTTACATTTAAAAACTACAAATATACATATATATATAATTCAACATTTAACTTGAAGAATAACAAATAAAATTTTTGGAGATCAGCAATTTTTTACACACAACAATTTGATTGTTTACTAGGTATTTTACCATACCTAGGTACCAAATTTTTATAGGGAAATATGACCATTTTCGTATATTTACTTACTAGCGGTGTTTGTTTTACGCTTATATTTGTATTTAAAGATATAGAAATAGATTTAAACTACATCAAATTATATCATTTAAATATGATATTTGTTTATTTATTTATTGGCGGTGTTTATTTTCCACTCACATTATTTTTAAAGTTGCATAGAGAAACAGACCTGAAATACATCAGCTGATATAATTTAACATGAAAACATTATTTAAATAAAAACCCATACTTGTTTATTTATTTATTGCCCGTGTTTCACACTGATTTTTACTTTTAAAGCTATCCAAAGAAACAAATCTGAACCGCATCAACCAATATTATTTAACATTAGAATAATATTTAACTATAAAAAAAAATCACATTTATTTATTTATTTTTAAACGGTGATAGTTTCACATTGATTTTTGATCTTAAAGCTGATCAGAAAAGCAGATCTAAATTACATCAACAGATATGATTTAACATTGAAACAATAACTGAATATTAAAAAAAATCTCCCTAAATCAATCGGATTTTCCTTATATGGGCGTGGATGTTCCACTTTATTTACAACCAAAACAAACTTTAAAATTACTCACGTTCTTCTTGCAGCTTCACATATCCAAAGAAATAACTAAGAAATACACAACAGACAATAAAATGTTTCTTCAGAAGTCTTTGAAAAGGCAAAAATTCCATGGTTTTATGCATGATATATTTAAAAACAATCACATTTAAAATAAGTTGTATAAAAACTTAGCGGCTTTTACAAAAAGATAGGGCCTAGCTCCAACGCATCTTTCTGGCACGCTGCTTGGCCGCTTGGCGATGAATGTTCAGGAGGAAAATGGGAAAACGCGAATGTCCAAGTCGCCTATGAGACCATTGGCGCGTTTTTGAATGACATCATGCAGCGCGCACCCAGCTGTTTCTCATGAATGTCAAAACTTTTTAGACCATGCGGTTTTTTTTCGCCATCAGTGGTTTCCTGCTCTGTTATAATTTTTTTTTTTGCTCTCATGGCTTATAGTCAAATTGAAATAAGAAAAATGTGCCAGCTAACTCAAAGTTCGTTTTTTTTTTTTTTCGTGAATCTTTATCTTTTATTTTTGTCTATCTCTAAATAATCATAAATTAAAAGAAGAAAAAAATATGCGTCTGGTTTTATCTTCATTTAATTTCTTTCAGGACGTATCAATGGAAATTCTTTGTGTCTTCTTTTTCTTAGGGGGGGGGGGGGACATTTAATATGCAAACAGCTCTCTAAATTTCACGCATAAGATAAAAACGACAAATTTTTCTTCTATCTGTCTGGAAAATGATTTTGTTTTTAATTCCATTTATTTATTTATTAAAATGTTTTTAACTTCACTGCATTTCAATCGATGATGTTTCATTGAAGAAACTTTTATGAATAGAATAAAGGTATGAAATATAATAGATTTCAATTTATTAAAAGAGATTTCGATATTACTAAAGGAAGAATTTACAGATTTATAATTTTTGAGGAGGGTTACTACTAGATTTTTATTTTAATGTAATTAAATTACCAACCACCCCACCCTGACTAAAAAGTTAATGTTTCCCTGTGTAAGCCATCATCAGCACTCAGATAATAAGTAATTTTTTTTCTATGTTTTTCTAAGCACTAAATCAAGCGACGCAGACGTTTTTTATAACAGTACTCTATTTTAGACTATTTTTAAATCAAACATCTAACAGTCACATTTATTATTAATATATTATATAACAGTCGCCTTTATTTTATTTTCGCATTTTTAAACAAAAATTCATCAAAACTTATGATGTCAGTGGCATGTATTTAAACACAAATGGAACAAACCAAGGAAAAATGTCCGACTCTAATTAAAGAAGCTTCAAAACTTTCGCGCGAATAATAAATAAATAAATATAAACTAAACATCTAACCCGTCCGGCCAGACAAAAAATGAAATGTGGAACAAGAAAAAAGAAAAGCGAACAGGCAGGTAGGGTGTGGTACCGTTCTCGATATGTGTCATGAAAACTTGTCACTTTATTATGACATTTGTATGATTTATAAAAAAAAATATTAATGAATAATTAAAAGGAACAGATAGTTATAATAAATAAAAATTTCATTGGATCTTTGATAGTTCTTATTTGTTTAAATTCTTGTCTAAATAAAAAAATTAATTAGCTGTCCGACTAGTTAAAACGCCTCTGTGTTAGTAGCATGGTAGCTATTTTTTATTAGTATATTTTTATGAACTCATTTTTGTGTTTGTGAGAATGGACTACTTTCCGACTAGCTAAAGCTTTCAAATCTCAATGTTCCGTTCCTGATAACAATACAAATTTCCGTCTCATCCGCTTTAAAGAAGATTTTATCACCACATTACAGGCGAAAGCAACCACCCATTTATTTTGACTACAATTTTTGACTGATTTTTTTTTTAAACCACAGATGAAAAAGAGCCGAAACCTTTGCTGGGGATTCTAGAGGACTTGAATTTTAACTGAGGCTCGAAGCTGAAGAGCAAAATAAATTATGTTTCTATTGTTTATTGACCACTACCAGCAAGATTTATATCACCAAATATAATTTATCAACAATCAAATTTTTGATCTCTTTCTCTTTAGCTACAGTGCTCAAATAGCTGGAGCTCTGTGCATAATTTCAACATCAATAGCAATATTTTGCTGAAATTCAAGTAAAATTTATCGTCAATGAAGGCTAGCTAAATTCCAGAAAAATTTCGAAACAAATAGAAAAAGATCAAGGAAACAAAATGATTAACTAATTACAATCGATCAAAAATATTTGTAAATTAAATATATAAAATTTACGATAATCTCCACACTAGAAAATTTCACCACATATAAAAAATTTTCAAACGTTGACAAGCATGGACTAAATATTTCGACAGATTTCCAACATAAAATAAATTAACAGACACGAAATCAAAAAAATAAGTAAATAAATAATAAAATGAATAAATAAAATAGTTTTAAAAATTACGTTCATCAAGCAAACTAAATTAGAAAATAATTTTATTCTTATAATAATTATTTTATTATAAAAATAAAATTATTTTATTTTTATAACAAAAAACCTAATGCATATCTCTTTTGCTATAAATTTTATTAAGAGATTTTTCTTTTTAATAAATAACAAAATGTGTGCTTTAGTATCTGATTTTTCATTTTATAAATTGGAATTAAAATGATTTTGAACACCACGACATGTAAATAATTGAAATACATAGTAAATGTCCAGTTAAAATCAATATGTCTATCCACAATTTTATGATAACATCAGTTAACTCTTTCAATCCATAAAAGTCAAAATAAATATAAATAGTTATCTAATATACGGCTTCATAATTAGATGTATCAAGCACTTGTGGGGTTTCTTTTGCTCGAAAGTAATAGAAGCCTCACTCGTTTATTTGAAAATCGCTCACTAATCAACTAGTCGAAAACGTGAGGAAATCATCTTCCGTTTTAAATATGAAGGTAAGCTTTATAAGCAAATATATTTTATTTATGTTGTTATTTATGATTACATAAAACTAATATCTAAGAATAGTCCGGCAAATGTTAGCTAGTTATTGTAAATTAAAATCATCTTTTCGAATCCAAAAATGAGGATAATTATTTAATATTTTTTCGTGGCTATTATTTTATGTAAGATGTAGAAGGGACCGGGTAGTGGGGTAAAACTGGGCACCCCGGATTTTGGTGAAATTAGTTTTGTTTTCTTGCGGACAAACTCTATATTACGCTTTACTAGTAAAGAAGGACCCGCCATATTGGCAAAGAATATATAAGTCTTCTTGTTTTCGCGGCATCTGTGTATATAAGTTTGTTATACGACGTGAACTCTCTAATATTCTTTTGTTTTTAAGATATCCTTATTTATTAGTCATTACAGTTATGAAAATTATTTTCAGTTCAGCTTATGGTACGTTTGTTAAAGACCATAACAATAATAATAACAAACATTGAAGATTTAGCCCGATAAGTAATGTTTTGTTTCGTTTCGATAACCTCTGTTGCTCGCGGTTAAAACCGGGTACTACAACAACTTTTCGGTGCTCCTCCCCCCTTCCTTGATGTGCCATATGTGTCTATGCTGGGGCCACGAAAGCTACAATACATAGGTGGGAGCCATGGTGGCTCAGGGGATAGAGCGTTCGCCTTTCGATGAGGAGAACCAGGTTCGAATTCCAGCTATCGCTGCTCGATTTGAATTCCGCACTCGGCTCGCACCGACCTTATCGGATATAATCGTGTGAACGGATGACGAGATTATATATTTTCAAATTTTAACCCTTTGCACTCCGATGTCTCCACTGAGGCACCATCAACAGTCACCACTTTAAAATTAAGATATTTTACATCTTAATACTAATTAGTAACCACATTATTTTAAGAACTTTAAAATTACACAATAATGCTATATTGCGTATTTTAAATGCTATACTGCTAATATTAGATCAATCAGCACTTTAAAGTACTCGGAGTGTAAAGGGTTAATTCATTTTCCATTTTTTTATCTTAATTTTTTTTTTTTTTTTAAATTTGTGAATTTTTTCTTTAAAATATGTGTTAATAATTATTTTCTTCTCCTTTGGGAAATCTTTATATCTTTTTTTTCTCCCTTGCTTTCTCTATATTTTTAAATTTAATCTAAGTTCTGTTAAAATAAATATTTAAAAAGAAAATTTGAAGTCTCTCGAAACTGTAATTCAATTGACATTTCGCTAACTCTTTAGAAAATCAGTTTTACTTAAGTATAAAATTTTGCCTGTGCATAATGGTAGAAAAATTAAAATATACTGCTACCACTTTAAATATAAAAGTAACATTTTCTGAGAAAAATTAAAGGAATTAGTATAATAAATCGCTACATATGTTAAATCATTAGCAGTTGAAAATCGAATTTGGGCTACCCGCTACTGTTTGGGCTACTCATTAATTTTCGAACGCTACAAGTCTTGAAAATGTGCTACTTTTTTCTTGCAGAATTATTTTTCCCCTTACCATTATAAAATGATTCAGAAAAATCTGCAGTTTTTTTTTTTTTTTTTTTAATNTTATTTTCATTTATTTATTTATTTTTTTTGAAAACTCATCAGTTTTAATTTTGGATTCTTAATTTGTTTTGCTGCGCTGAATCTAGAATCTTTCAATATCTATGTTTCAAATCGTAGACTCGTGAAATTGCAAAGACATATATGGAAAATTGCACGGCGAGTATGAGGGAGAAAAAATCTTCGGAGGGCTACGAAATGTTCGAATCCGTTCTTTTGAAGCTGATAATTCGCTACTTTTTAATCTTCTTTTTCTGAATTTACTTAAATTCCGGCAACACTGAACCTATATAATTTAAATATTTGTTTTATACGAAAAAATCTCCTGACATCTAGAATTTTCTAAAATTTTATCACAGCCGATTAATGTGGCAGTTAGATCGAAATAAAGGCCTGGGTACTCAGATACGAATAGTTCTCTAATAAGCTTAATCATAAAGCTACCACTACTTCGTTTTAATTTTTATCTTGTGGTTTCGACAGGCCATTCATGTAAACAACGTATATAGTCCATATTATTGTACTTTAAACTCAGACTTAATTCACTCGTTGCCCATGGCAAAAAAAAAACTCACTTGAAGAGGTAGGTGCCGTAAGGCAGATACCTCGAAATTTACCTTTACATTAAAGCATGTTAATAACGTTGGGTTAATATGAGTTAAAAAAGACGTGCAAATTTTCAGTAAACTATTTACAAACTATTTAGACTATTTAAAATATTTATTTCCTTAAACTAGCTTACAAATTTTGAAGCAGTTTCATAATAAAACAATCTTCAAAATTGGGATCACATCGCAATTTTTTGAGTCAAAAAATTTATAAATTCTTGAGATGCAGAATATT